GTCACCAGAGCCAACTCATCTATCAGACACCAGGCCCCACAACACTTTTAGGGATGTACAAAATGGCTTTATTTTAATCTCTCTGAAAATCAGGAGAAACAAATTAATAAAATAATACCGAGGCAATTGTAAAAGATACTTTGTAGTATTTTTTCATGGAGGGAGGCACATGCCTGGCAAAAGTGCTTTGGCCCCCGAAGGTCTTTTTTTTTTTTTTTTTTAATGTAACACATTTACTTAAACCCAGAGAAACCAGGGAGCAGTGCCTGGCTAGGCCAGGGCTAAATAAGGTAAATTCAGAAGAAAAGAAAGTGATTCCACATCTTCTAGCCACTTTTGGGACTGGAAGAAAGATACCAAAGTGAAACTTTGGGACAGGGGCCACTCAGGTGGAGCTCCCCATGGTCGAGTGACACACACTCTGCCTTTACCCCCACCAGAGGCTAGGGAAGGCAGCCCCAAAGCGGGGAAGATAAGTTTCCTATCTTTTGGATAAATACACAAAGCTAAAATCCTGAGCTGTAAACACATTTATGAGTAAAACTCCTGTCCCCAAAACATTTGCAAAGTGAATTTGAAGTTTATTTAAATAACCCCCATTAGAACAGGGTGGGCCAGTCACTACACCTTCCTCGTAATAGCAATTAACCAAAACAGGGAGAGTAAGCAGGCCCTGCGGCCAGCCTGCCGGCCACGTGGTGAGGGGTGGGGTGCCTCTCAATGGAGGCGGCCAGGACCTCGGCCGACCAGCAGCTGGAGGTGCGTCCCCTGTTGAGCGAGGGTTCTTGATGGTTTCATCTGCGGACAGGATAAGGCACGCAGCCTCAGAGGCCGCAGTGAGGGCGTTGATCCGCACCATGGCTGGCTCCCACACGAAGGCCTCAAAGTTGTCAGCAATGTCCTCGTTGTTGATGTCTACCCCGTACCACATGCCTCCCTGGGCATGCCCAGCCCACCCCCGAAGGTCATAATGTGGTCCTGCTGGTCCCGAGTGTGTCTCCCCACTAGACTATGAGTGCTAGCGAGGTGGAAACGGAGACTGGGTCCCCAGAGCTGCCCAGCAAGGGCCTGGCACACAGCACATAATAGGAGATGCTTGATAAATATATGGATGGACAGAGGGAAGGGTCACAGAGCAGAAAGGACACCTGGACCAGGCCGACACCAAGCTGGGACCAGCAGCGCCACCTTGTGACACAACGCTGGCCTGCTTCTCCCTCCACTACACTCAATGGGAAAGAACTGAAGAGGGTTTGGAGTCCTCCCACTGGAAGGGAGAGGAGTGAAGGAAGAAGAGGAAGAGGAAGAAGGGGTGGAGAGAAAGGTAGAGGAGGAGGAAGAAGAAGGAGAGAGGGAGGAGGAGGGGGAAAGAGGCAAAGGTGGCAGCAGGCAGAAATCTCAGAAACGAAGACTGAAGACAGACAACTCTGGGTCCAAAGCCCTTGGCTGTCCATTTCCAGCTGTGTGATGGGGGGATGACATCACCTCTGATCCTCAGTTTCCTCGTCCAGAAAGTTGGAAAAATCAAAGTCAGGCTTCTGAACAACGTGATGAAATAGCTCAGAAAACAGCAGCTATTTCTCCCACCTTGAGGCTCCTGGACAGGTGTTGCTCTCAAGTAGCGCCCGCCAAGGCTGGGAGATGACAGATTTTCCATGAAGACATGGCAGGGGCAGGAAAGGGAAATGGGTTCGGGGGTAGAGTTAGATTTAGCAAAACCGACAAAATAAAAAGGATGCCCGGCTCCATTTGAATTTCAGATCAACAATGAATAATTTTTTAGTATAAGTATATCCCAAATATCACGTGATATACTTTTTTTTGTTGTTGTTAATCCTCACCCCAGGATATTTTTTCCATTGGTGTTTTAGAGAGAGTGAAAGAGAAGGAGGGAGTGGGAGAGAGATAGAGATGTGAGAGAGACATCGATTGGTTGCCTCCTGCACAGGCCCCGATCAGGGGCAGAGGGTCGAACCTGAAACCCAGGTACATGCCCTTGACTGGGAATCGAACCCACAACCCTTTGGTGCACAGGCCAATACTCTAACCACTAAGCCATACCAGCCAGACACATGTGGGACATCCTTATACCCCCAAAATGTATTCACTGTTGACCTGAAATTCAAAGTGTATTGGGCATCCTATACCTTATCTAGCAACCCTAGCATGGGGAGACTAGGGAGGTAGGTGGGAAGGCTTCCAGGAGGAGGGGACAGTAGTGGTGGAAAGGGAGTGGAGCAGCTCCACTTTCCTTCCCATCCTCCACCCACTTGTGAACATGCTCAGTGGCAAATGCCTTTGACTTCACTCACTGGGGACTGGAGGGTGGAGGTTGATCCCCACACCGGGGAAGGAGATGAGCGTGACTCTTCTCCTTTTGTTCAGAAGATGTGGGGCAAAATCACTAAGACATTATTTTCCAAATCAGAATTCGGTTACATCCCCCTGACCAGGAATATTTTGGCCATGTCTCAGCACTGAAGGCCACTCGGAAGCTGAAGACTACCAGGCGTATCTCCTAGTCACTTTAGAGCTGTGTGACTTTGGATAACACACTTCACCTCTCTGAACTCTATACATTCACCAACCCTTTCTCTCCCAGCTCTCCCCTCCTGCTCCAGCCACATTGGCTTGTTGACTGCACATCCAGGCATGGCCCAGCCTCAGGGCCTTTGCACATGCTGTTCCCTTCATCAGAAACACTCTTCCCAGATCTTTACATGGCTCCCTCCTCTCCTCTGACTTTTGTGTTCAAATGACACTCAGAAAGGCCTCCCTAACCATCCTATTAAAAGTTGAGCCCCTGCCCTGGCCAGTTTGGCTCAGCAGTTAGAGCATCAGCCTGCAGACCAAAGATTCGCGGGTTCGATTCTGGTCAAGGGCATGTATCTTGGTTGCGGTTTGTCCCGGCCCTGGTTGGGTCGTGCGGGAGGTAACCAGTCCATGTGTTTCTCACATTGATGTTCCTCTCTCTCCCTCCCTCCCTCTCTATCTGATGATAAATGTAAAAATATCCTCAGTTGAGGATTAAAACATAAATAAAAAGAGTGAAGCCCCTTCTCCTCACCCTGGATGGTGTGACTCAGTGGTTAGAGTATCAGTCTCCACACCGAAGGATTGTGGGTTCGAGTTCTGAGCACCTACCTGGGTTTCAGGTTTGATCCTCTGCCCCTTGTCAGGGCCTGTGCAGGAGGCAACTGAATGATGTGTCTTTTGCACATCAATGTTTCTCTCTTTCCCCCTCCCTCCCTTCTACTCAATCTAAAAATCAGTGGAAAAGAATCCTTAAGTGAGGATTAACAACAACAAAGTGGAGCCCTCACATTACTGATCCTAGCACTCAGCACAAGAAAAATTGTTGAATGAATGAATAAGAAAAAATGGTCTGCAAGCAAATGTGAAGTTTGTATCTGTTATAGTTTATTGCTCCTCCTTTTTTTTTTTTTTTTTAATCCTCACCCGAGGATATTTTTCCATTTTTTGTACAGATAGAGTGGGAGGGAGAGAGAGGAAGGGAGAGAGAGAGAGAAACATCGACGTGAAGGGACACATCGAGTGGCTGCCACCCGCACGACCAACCAGGGCCGGGGACAAACTGCAACCGAAGTACGTGCCCTTAGCGGTAACCGAACCCGGGTCTCTCCAGACCGCAGGCCGACGCTCTAACCGCTGAGCCAAACTGGCCAGGGCTATAGTTTATTGCTTATATCATTTTTGGATCTCAGACTCACTTGCAAATCTGACTAGCTGCATGGGGTTACTTAAATGTGAATATTCAGTGTCTTGGTGTGCAACAGCCATATGGCACTAGTGGCTGCCATACTGGATGGAGCAGAATTCTAGAATATTCCTAACATCTCAGACAGCTCTGTTGCACAGTGTGAGTGTAGAACCTCTCAATAAAATGCATTTGGTCACAGACACCCAATTTTTTCCATGTTCTTTCTGGAGGTTCCAGAAGTCTTACCTCAACCCACATAATTTAGCGAAAACCTGACTGGGTTTTATTTGGTCCAATAGTTTTCTAAGAGGCAGGACAGTGCTTCTACAGTCTGGAATTCCTGTGGATTTACGAATCCCTGGGTGAGCCTCCACAGGGCAATGATCTGCTCTGTTTATGCAGGGCATGCTACCATCCCATTTACCTCTTGCCAGGCCCTGAGTTTAAAACCTTGGATTATAGACCTTAGTTTTTTGGAGAAAAAAATTAATCTAAGTGGGTGTGGCTTCAGGAAGAGGTTGATCCAGGAGTCAGAGATCCAGGAGTTGCTCCCTGCATTGCCTTAGATGGGTGGTCTTCTGAACCTCAGTTTTCTCGACTGCACACAATCCTTCGGTGTGCAGACTGACGCTCTAACAGCTGAGCCACACCGTCCAGGGCAAGGAGGAGGGGCTTCACTTTTTTATTTGTTTTTTAACCCTCACCTGAGGATATTTTTACACTTATCGTCAGATAGAGAGGGAGGGAGGGAGAGAGAGGAATATCGAGAAATGGGGATAAAGGGACACCGGTGTTGGAGAATTAAGTGGTGCTATACAGGTCAGGGCGGGCAGAAGGCACTGGATATCTGTTCATCGCTGTGGTTAAAGCTGTTCATAATGCTGGGTCCGGTTTGGCTCACTCACCCTTGTGCCCTAGTGGAAATATGGTTCCTGACTCACCGAGTTCTCACAGCCTCGGTTTGGCCACTGGAGAAAAGGGGGTCCGGGGGACCCCAGGATCGTGCTCACCTCCCAGGGCAAAGTTCATAGAATCTCTAGGTGGGGCTGGTGCGCCGTTGGCTGGATCCAGCGTCGTACCGGGTGTCCGCCAACCCCCGGGCACCCCCACCCCACGTCTGGCTTTTCCTGGACTTCACTAGTGGCACCAACGTCCCGGGCCGGAGAGGGGCGTGGTCTACAGGTCCCCAACCGGATTGGTCCTTCGGACCGTCACTCCCGGGCGCCCGGCCCCCAGTATAAAGCCCTCCCTAGGCCAGCCCAAGACCGTTTTGGAGAGTGCCTCAAAGTCTTGTTCGCCGCGCCCCGGACGTCCCGCTGACCGCGGTGAGAGGCGGGGTGCCCGGTCGAGGTGGGGGACGGGACCTGCCGAGCCTTGGGGTGCCCCAGGGTTGGGAGCGGTGGGGAGGGCCTTTCCGGGGGCTCTGCTGTTCTCTGCGGCCTGGAGGAGGGGTCTCCAGCCGAGTGATCACCCCTCCCCCTTCCCCAATCCAACTTCTGGACCAGGCTTAGACTTTCCAACGCTCTCCTCCTAATTCCTGGGACTTTCGGGGGAAGTTGTGAAAAAGCCCCCTACAAGTGGCAGTATCAAGAGGTGGGGGACAAATCCCCCGTCCCAAACCACTTGCTTACCAAATTTAAAGGGTGTTTGCTCTGCAAACGGGCAAGCTATAGCCCGTCCTGCACTGGAATTCCGCCCTCTGTGGGACTCGGAGCCCACCCCCCACTCCCGCCCCTCACCGGGGAGCGTCTTCTGCCTAGCACAGCCCCCTCCCCAGCAAATGGTTTTGCTGCCGGGGGCCCGCCCTTGCACCAGCTTCTGACCCCCAGAGGACGGTGGCAAATCCCGCCCCCTTACTCCTGGTGGCTGTGGCCAGCGATTGCGCAAGACTGCGGGGCAGGAGTAGGATTGGGGAGGGAAGTCCTACCCCTTATCTGAGTCCTTGAGACCTAAGTGAGGACTGAGATGAGGCGCGGGGGTGGGAACTAAGTCTCTGGGAACTTTGGAAATTGGATTTTAGCGTATCCTGGCTGCCACTGGAAGGCTGCGGACTCCACCCAGTTCTAGCCAGCTCCTGCTCTGGCAGCTGCAGGCAGGTTACAGACCCCAAGGACTTTACTGGGGTGCTGACATTTGCAGTGGTCGCCCTTAGTTAAACCGGTTCAAAGGATGGTAGGAAGGACCTCTAAGCTGCCCAGGCGAGCTCAGGCTCAAGGGAAGGTGAGGGGGACTCATGTGATAATCAACAGGGACAAGGTGTATCTCCTCACCCCACTTTCCACCAGGGCGGAGGAGCTTCTGGAACAAGTTGGGACCTCTGGAACAAGCAAGAATCTCATTTCTGGCTGGCTTCACCTTTTGTACACAGCAGCCAGAGTGGCGTGACATTGATCTGTTTATTGAGCAACTACTATGTGTCAGACTAAGCACCGCATGTGTAGCATCTTCTCCAATCTGAAGGGACTCTTAAATTAGGAATGGTTATCTAAGCTAACAAGTGGCAAGTGAGGCTCCAAGAAGAGGTGCTGCCTTTCTAAGCTCCCACTGCTAGTGAGATGCATATCTGGGATTAGAACCCAGTTTAGCCCTGACTCCATTGCAGGGCACACACAAGAATCAACCAACAAATGCATAATATGTGGAACACCAAATCCATGTTTCACTTTATCTCTCAAAATCAATTTTAAAAAACTTTAAAAAGAACCTGGTTTAGACTCCAGAACTGGTGCTCTCAAAACATCAGGTTCCACTTTGGGGATGGTGAAACACATCTGGGCTTCATTACTCTAGAACAGTGGTTCTCAACCTTCCTAATGCTGCAGCCCTTTAATACAGTTCCTCATGTTGTGGTGAACCCCAACCATGAAATTATTTTCATTGCTACTTCATAACTAATTTTGCTACTGTTATGTCTTAGGCGACCCTGGTGAAAGGGTCGTTCGACCCCCAAAGGGGTCGAGACTCCCGGGTTGAGAACTGCTGCTCTAGAAGGAAACTCAGAATCAAGGTCAGGGGTTCTCAACAGGTTCACTCCAGAACTGCCTGTGGGACCAGCCTTTAAGGCAAGCATTATTGTTAGCCTCATTTTATAGGTGAGAGGACTGAGGCAGAGAGGAAGCTCCTTGCCCAACACAGCACAGCGTGGGCAGAGCTGAGACTCCTGGAATCTAGTGTGAGGATCTACCCATCTCATCTCACCTGGCCAGGAAAATGAAGCACACCTGTGGCTCCCATCTCACCTGCAAATGTGTGCATTAGACCTATCTGGGGTGCCTCCCTCACCCTGTGCACACCCGAGCCTGACTTGATTGGTTTGCAGTGGGGCCAGACATGGTCTCTCTAATAGTTTTTCTTTTCTTTTTTTTAAAGCCTAATATATATATTTTTTAAACAGGTAATACTGTCTGTCTGGTTCAAAAGGTAGAAGCCAGCCCCAGCTACCTGATCTTCCTTCCTGAAAGGTGGCCACCTTTAACAGTTAACTGTGTCTCTTTAAAGAGCTTTTACAGCCATGGCCAGTGTGGCTCAGCTGGTTGGAGCTACTTCCCGTGCACCAAAGGGTTGCAGGCTCGATTCCCAGTCAGGGCACGTGGATGTTTCACTCTCTCTCTCTCTCTCTTCCTCTCTCTCTAGAATCTATGAAAAACATGTCTTCAGGTGAGGATTTTAAAAAGATTCTGTACAAATGCAAGTAAACCCTTTTTTGTTGTTAATTCTCACCAGAGGATATTTTTTCTATTGATTTTTAGAGAGTGGAAGGGAGGGAGGGAGGGAGAGGGAGAGAGACAGAGAAACATCAATGTGAGGGAGATACATAGATTGGTTGCCTCCTTCAAGCGCCTCGACAGACCAAGATCGAACCTGCAACTCAGATACATGCCCTTGACTAGGAATTGAACCTGTGAGCCTTTAGTACACAGGCCAGTACTCTAACTACTGACCCACACTGGCCAGGGCACAAATAAACACTTTTATCCGATTGACACCTTTGTCTCTTTAGGGTATCTTGGTCCATGTCAATTACATGTAAATTCCCATTCTTTTGCCAGGCACTGAGCTAACCTGGTATTTTCTTTCCTTTTTTATCCTCACCTGAGAACATTTTTCCATTTTTTTTTGTTCAGATAGAGTGGGAGGGAGGGAGAGAAAGAGAGAGAGAAACATCGACATGAAAGGGACACATCGAGTGGCTGCCTCCCACATGACCCAACCAGGGCTGGGGACAAACTGCAATGAAGGTACGTGCCCTTAGTGGGAACTGAACCCAGATCTCTCTGGACCGCAGGCTGACGCTCCACCTGCTGAGCAAAACCGGCCAGGGCTAACCTGGTGTTTTCTTTAGTCTCCTTCTGCTGAGCAAACAGGTTGTTACCAGTGTCTTCTTGTGGCCAACACAGGTACCCTTGCCTCTGCCCACTTGGCAGTACATTTGTGGGATGGTCCTTGAAATGAGGTTTCCGGGCCAAAGGGTAGATGCCTCTTGAACCTTGGTAGCTATTGGCAAATTGCCATCCACAGAGGTTTTGCTCCTTGGGTGTCTCTGGAGTATTAATACAGGTAAGCCTTCAGAGGGCTGTACCCTGACCTTGCCCTTCAAGGTATAGCCCTGGATCAGTGGCATCAGCAGCACTGGGGAGCTTGTTAGAAATGTAGACTATCAACCCTGCTGAATCATCACCTGCTCTTGAATAGGTTCAATGGTGTATGTTAATGATTGAGAGGCAGGGCTCTCAGAATTGGGTGGGGATTGTTGGAGTGCAGGTGTGAACCCAGACTTCCCCTTGGAGAGAGGGGCAGGTCAGGCTGTACCTGACTAGTCTATCTGTCCACAGTGTGTGCTTCTGAGAAATGTCTACCAATGAGACAGAAGCCCCTGCCAGCACGCCGGTGACACCTGAAGAACCGGTACAGCAGGTGAGGAAGGTCTGGAGTCCATAGGGTGAGGCTTCCCATGTCATGGTACCGTGGAAGGGAGCCAGGGAGCTGTAGGCAGCACATGGGGGTTAAGAGATACCTTTCTGACTGGGTGGAGGAGAGCCAGCCGACAAACCTCTAACAGGTGTCCCACTGACAGATGAGGGCAGGAGAGCTGGGACTCTCAGAGGCTCTTGGAAGAACGGGTACTGTTTAAAACTGCCTGGCTACCTCCCCCTCAACCCACTCCCCCCAAAAAATGCTCTCTGCTTCTGGAGGTTCTCTTTGGGTCCTTCTTCCAACAAACCAGTCCCTATTCCACCCCCTCCCCAGTTTAAATAAAGGCCCCTTTTAATAGACTATTATAGTATATCTGCATACCATAAAATCCGCCCGTATGAAGGTGCTAGTCAGTGATTTTTAGTGAACTATCAAGTTATGCAGTCATCACCACCATACAGTTTTAGAACATTTTTCATCTTGTGCAAAACAGACCCCCATAAGTGCCTGGTCGGTGTGGCTCAGTGGTTGAGTGTTGACCCATGCACCAAGAGGTCGCTGGTTCGATTCCTGGTCAGGGCGCATGCCCAGGTTGTGGGCCCAATCCCCAGAGGAGGAGGTGCAGGAGGCGACCAGTCGATGTTCTCCATCCATGTTTCTATCTCTCCCTCTCCCCTCCTTTCTCTCTAAAATCAATAAAGAAAAAAAAATTTAGAGATCCCCCCCCCCATAACCAGTAGCAGTTACCCCCACCCCATCCCCCCATCCTCCTCAGGAATCACTCTAGTTTCAGTCTCTATGAGACCCTTTGATGTCTGGCTTCTTTCACTGAGTGATGTATTAAAGGTTCATCTATATAATGTGTGTCAGTGCTTCATTCCTTTTGTACAATTGCGGTAAAATACACTTAACATAAAAACGCTCTATTTTAACCATTTTAAAGAGTATACAGTGCAGTGGGATTAAGTACATTTATAATGTACAACCATTCCCACTATCTAATTCCAGAACTTTTTCATCACCCCAGATGGAAATCCCATCTCCATTAATAGTCATTCCTATTTCCTTCTCCCTCCAGCCCCTGACAACCACTACTCTGCTTTCTGTCTGTGGATTTACCTATTCTGGTGTGGCCGTATGCCAATAAAACTTTATTTACAAAACCAGGCAGCAATGGAATATTATTTAGCCATATAAAGGAATAAAATACACGTACTGCAACGTGGGTGAACCTTGAAGATATGCTCAGTGAAATAAGCCAGACACAAAAGGACAAGTTCTGTGTGATTCCACTCATATGAGGTTCCCAGAGGAGTCAGATCCATAGACACAGAAAGTAGATCAGAGGGAGCCAGGGGCTGGGGGATGGGGAGGAGGAGTTAGTGTTTAATGGGGACACTTTCAGCTTGGGAGGATGAGAAAGTTCTGGGAATGGATGGTGGTGGTGATTGTACAACAGTGTGAATGTACTTAATGCTACTGAACTATACACTTAAGAATGGTTAAAATGGCCCTGGCTGGTTTGGCTCAGCGGTTGCAGCGTTGGCCTGCGGTCCAGAGAGACCTGGGTTCAGTTCCCACTGGGGGCATATACCTCGGTTGCAGTTTGTCCCCGGCTCCCCGGCCCTGGTTGGGTCATGTGGGTGGCAACCACTCGATGTGTCCCTTTCATATCGATGTTTCTCTCTCTCTCTCCCTCCCACTCTATCTGAACAAAAAATGGAAAAATGTCCTTGAGTGAAATAAAAAAAAAAAGGTTAAAATGGTCTGGCCTGTGTGGCTCAGTGGTTGAGCGTCGACCCATGCACCAAGAGATTGCCAGTTCGATTCCTGGTCAGGGCACATGCCCATGTTGTGGGCCCAATCCCCAGAAGGGGTCAAGCAGGAGGCGGCCTGTCGATGTTCTCTCTCATCAGTGGTTCTATCTCTCTCTCCCTCTCCCTTTCTCTAAAATCAATAAAGGAAAAAAAATTTTTTTAAGTGGTTAAAATGGTGAATTTTATGTTACCTATATTTTATTACAGTTTTTTTTAATATCTTTTTTTTTATTGATTTTTTAGAGAGAGAAGAAGGGAGAGGGAGAGAGAGATAGAAACACCGATGAGAGAGAACATCGATCAGCCACCTCCTGCATGCCCCCCACTGGGGACCGGGCCCACAACCCAGGCATGTCCCCTGACCGGGAATCGAACCGGTGACCTCTTGGTGCATGAGTCGACGCTCAACTACTGAGCCACACCAGCTGGGCTTATTACAGTTTTTTAAAAAATGAAGCATTCACATACACTACTACATGAATGAACCTTGAACACATTCAGTGAAAGAAGTCAGACTCAAAGAAAGAAGAATATATGATTTTATTTATATAAAATGTCCAGAATAAGCAAATTCATAGACAGATTAGTAGTTGCCAGGGACTGGAGGGAGGGGAGAATGAATGACTGTTAATGGGTACAGATTCCTTTTCGGGCTGATGGAAAAATTCTAGGATTATTGGTGAAGATTGCACAACCTTGTAAATATGACTAAAATCCACTGAATTGTGCATTAAAAAAAATTATTTTTATTTTTGGTTTTTAGAGAGGAAGGGAGAGGGAAAGAGATAGAAACAATGATGAGAGAGAACATTGACTGGCCACCTCCTGCATGCCCACCACTGGGGACTGGGCCCACAACCTGGGCATATGCCCTGACCGAGAATTGAACTGATGACCTCTCGGTGCATGGGGTGGATGCATAACCACTGAGCCACACCAGCTGGGCTGAATTGTGCACTTTAAAATGGTGAAATTTACCCTGGCCGGTTTGGCTCAGTGGTTAGAGTGTCGGCCTGCAGTCCAGAAAGACCTGGGTTCGGTTCCCGGTAAGGGCACATACCTCGGTTGCAGTTTGTCCCCAGCCCTGGTTGGTCATGCCGGTGGCAGCCACTCGATGTGTCCCTTTCATGTCGGTGTTTCTCTCCCCCTCTCTTCCTCCCACTCTATCTGAACAAAAAATAGAAAAATGTCCTTGGGTGAGGATAAAAAAAATAAATAAAATTAAAAAAAATAAAATGATGAAACTTACTACATGTGAACTTGATCTCAATAAAGCTATAAGGAAAAAAACCAGACAGGAATGAAAACATTAAGTGGCAGGTGTGCTGATGAATGAAATAGACCCAGAGACATAGAAAGAAGTATGGTTCAGACTGACAAACCTCAGAGGAGGGATGGATGAGATGAACCAAAGAACTTATACGCATAACCAGTGGACATAGACGACAATGCTGGGGGGGTGGGGAGAAGGGATGGGGAGGAAGGTGTCTAGGGGGGAAAAAGGAGAAATATCTGTAACAAAAATAAATTAATAAAAATTGGGAAAAAATAAAATAGAAGACCAAACAAACAACATTAAGTGGCAGGATGGACTTGGCCTGAGGGCTATAGTTTGCAGGCCTCAGTTTTAGACTGTAAGCTCTGTGAGAGTAGGGTCCTTGTCTCTTGTCACTACCTGGCACACAGTGAGTGTCAAAAGACACGTTCAAACAAATGAGCTGCAGAGCTAAGACAAAGGCAGCACATGGTGGAACCCTGGCTTGTGCAACTGTGTGGATCCAAAGGGGGGTGAGCTGAGCATTTCCCTGGCCACGCGAGACAGTGAAAGTGCCAGCACCTGAGTTTCGGGCTGTGTTGCCCAGTCTCCCAACCCCGGCCCAGCACTTCTCAGCTGCTTCTCCCTGTAGCCCAGCGTGATGGACCGAGTGGCCAGCATGCCCCTCATCAGCTCCACCTGCAACATGGTATCGGCAGCCTACACCTCCACCAAGGAGAGCTACCCCCATGTCAAGACCGTCTGCGATGTGGCGGAGAAAGGCATGAAGACCCTCACAGCGGCTGCCATCAGTGGGGCCCAGCCCATTCTGTCCAAGCTGGAACCCCAGAGTAAGTGAAGCCCCAGAGAACATAGAACTTCCCTTCCTGGCTGTTTTTTGGGGAGTCTGTTCCACCCTTGGCCCTGTTTTCCCAAACTGGCGGCTGAAATTCCCTGGACCCTGACAGATACTCATGTGCAGTAACCATCATATTTCTGTCTTTTCCCACTTCCTGTAGTCACATCAGCCAGTGAATACGCCCACAGGGGGCTGGATAAGCTGGAGGAGAACCTGCCCATCCTACAGCAACAGTCGGGGAAGGTAATGGATCCCTGCTGTCAGGAGCCCTGTGGGGACGGGGACAGAGACCTACCTGGGTGTTGAGTCTATGTTCCGCCTTAACTAGAATAGACCAGAGTGACAGCTTATTCTCTGACTTCTTCTGTATGCTCCACACACTCCAAATCTATTCTGCACTGGGCAGTTGGATGAATGTTCTCAGTGCCAGCTAGATCTGCTCTAATCACCCTGGTCAGTGTGGTCCAGTGGTTAGAGTGCCAGGCCCTCACACCGAGGGGTTGCAGGTTCGATTCCCAGTCAACGGCACGTACGTGGGTTGCAGGTTTGATTCCCAGGTTGGGGCACGTGCAGAAGGCAACCAATCGATATGTCTCTCTTGCATCAATCTTTCTCTCTCTCTGTCTTTCTCTTCCTCTCTCCCTACCTCTCACTCTCTCTAAAATCAATGGAAAAAATATCCTCAGGTGAGGATTAACAAACAGAGAAACAGACAAAAACCCTCTTTATCTCCCACTTTGCCCAGAGAAAAAGCCAAAGCCCTCCCCACAGCCCACATGGCCCCACCTGATCTGGCCCCACCACCCTCCCTGCCCTCATCACTTACCATTCTTGCTCCACTCTAGCCACATTGGCCTTCTTACTCAGTGTTCAGTAATATCAGTGCCTGTGGTATATACCAGACACAGTGGTGGAAACCATTCTTGCACTCATGGAACTCATTCTGGGGAGGTAGGGGAAGCAAAGACAACACACCCAACTCAGTCCTACCCCAGGACATTTGCACATGCAGTTCCTTCTTCGTGGACCAGGTTTTCAAGTCTCTGTTCTAATCACACCTCTTCGGAGGCCTTCCCTTCCCTCTTAAAGATTCTAGCTCAGCACTGCCTAGTAGAACTTTCTCTGACATACATGTTCTTTCTCTGCACTATCCAATATGGAAACCACCAGCAATATGAGGCTACTGGATCTTTAGAATGTGTCTAGTGTGACTAAGGAATTCAATTGCTAATTTTAATTAATGTACATTTAAATAGCTACTAATTTGTAACCATCACCATTCATTTTAGAACATTTCATCACCCCAAAAAGAAACCTCACACCCCTTAGCTGTTACATTCCTTCCCATCAAACATCCCAACCCCTGGCAACTACTAATTTACTTCCTGTTTCTATGGATTTGCCTGTTCTGGACATTTCATGTAAATGAAATCATATAATATATGGCCTTTTGTGTCTGGCTTCTTTTGTTGAGCATCATGTTTTCAGGGTTCATCCACATTGCAGTGAGTGTTAGTGCTTCACTCCTTTTCATGGCTGAGTAATATTCCAGTGTGTAGGCGGACCGTGCTTTGTTTAGTCTTTCATCTGTTGATGGACATTTTAGGTTGCTTCCGCTTCTTGGCTATTATGAATAATACTGCCATGAACATTTGTGTACAAGTTACATTAGTTTTTTTACAACATAAAATTTACCATCTTAACCACTTCTAAGTGCACAGCTCAGTGGCATTAAGCACATTGACATTATTGTGCAACCACCCATCTCCAGAACTTTCTCATCTTCCCAAACTGAAACTCTGTCCCCATTAAACACTAACTTCCCATCCTGTGCTCCCCAGACTCTGGCACCCACCCTCTACTTTGTCTCTATGGATCTGATTCTTCTAGGGACTGTCGATGAGTGAAATCCTCCTGCATGACCCCCTTGTACCTCCAACCCAGGTTCGTGCCTTTGATCGGGAATCAAACCTGCAATCCTTTGGTCCACAGCCTGACACTCTAACCACTGAGCCAAACCAGACAGGACATTCTAACTCTTTTTTAATCCTCACATCGATTGACTGTCTCCTGTATGCGTCCGGACCTGGGACTGAACCCGCAACACTTTGGTGAACGGGACAGCATTCCAACCAGTTGAGCTACCTGGCCAGGGTTGTTTTTCCTTTTTAAGGCAGAATAATTAATATTCCAGCTCGGCCGGTGTGGCTCAGTGGTTGAACGTCGACCCATGCACTAAGAGGTCGCCAGTTCAATTCCCGGTCAGGGCACATGCCCAGGTTGTGGACCTGATACCCAGTGTGGGGCATGCAGGAGGCGGCCAATCAATGTTCTCTCTCATCAATGTTTCCATCTTCCTCTCCCTTTCCCTTCCTCTGTCTCTAATGTAGCAATAAAGACAAAAAATTTTTTTTATAAAAAGAATAATTAATATTCCATTGTCTCGATGGACCACATTGTGTTTATCCATTTGTCTGTCAATGGGTTGCTTTTACCTTTTGACTGTTGTTAATGCTGCTATGCATGTGGGTATATAGATACCTCTTTGAGACCCTGCTTTCAATCAAATTTTATCTAGTTTTAATTATTTTAAATTTAAATAGCCACATATAGCTAGTGACTAGTATTAGTCAGTGTGGCTCTGGGAGGACTGAGGCACAGAGAAGGGGCCTGACTTGCCTGAGGCCGCACAGCTAAGAAGTATGAAGCCAAGGGTTCTAACCAGGCAGACTGCTTTCTGAGCAAGTGGTCTTAACTGTGATACTGGATTCAATGTTGATCCTTCAGGATCACTTGGGAGCTGGAACTCCTCCCTTTGGCTTTCCTGGAGATTGGGGTGCAGGGGTGGGGCTACCCAGATACAGAGGGCGTCCAGAGATGCTAATGCTGTCCTGACTCGTAGGTCCTGGCGGATACCAAGGAACTCATGTCATCTAAGGTGTCAGGGGCCCGAGAAGCTGTGTCCAATACGATGTCCAGTGCAAAGGACACAGTGGCCACCCGCATGACGGAGGCAGTAGATGTGACCAGGGGAGCTGTGCAGAGTGGTGTGGACATGACCAAGTCCGTGGTGACCAACAGTGTCCACTCGGTCATGGGGTCTCGCGTGGGCCAGATGGTGCTGAGCGGAGTGGACACAGTGTTGGGCAAGTCGGAGGAATGGGTGGACAACCATCTGCCTATGACAGACTCTGAGCTGGGTGAGTGTGGCCCATGGGCCTGAGACTCCTTCCTGGACCCCCCAACCTGGGCCCCTCTCTGCTACCTGTATTCTGGCCATTTGAATGAACATTTAAATTAGCAAATAAATGCCAGAGTTGGGGGAGTGGAACAAGAAAGGAGAGTCTGGGTGATTTTACAGTCGTCCCTGCCACTTTGTGCTTCAACTTTCATGGCTTCACTCTATCGCGGTTTCTTCAAATATATTCATTAAAAAGTTGATCGAGACAGTGAAAATAATACCGTGCGTGCTCGGATGTCTGAGTCAATTATACACCCCTGTACTACAATTAAAATTAAAATTACTGTATGTATGGATTATAGGCCTATGTATTCGAGCACCCCAGGACTCCTTCAACGCCAGGTGCAACTGCTAGAGTCTGGAACGGATTAACCACGATAAACAAGGGGCGACTGTATTTAGGATTTGAAGCACTTGCTGAGCACCAGGTCCTGTTCTAGACACAGGGACACAATCAGTGAGAGAGGGAAGCCTCTGCTTTGTAAAACTGATGACAGAGCCGATGACCAGTGCTTGAGAGAAAAGAATAGTGTTGCCCTGGCCGGTTTGGCACAGCAGTTAGAGCGTCGGCCCACGGACCAGAGAGTCCAGGGTTCAGTTCCCGCTAAGGGCATGTACCTCTGTTGCAGTTTGTCTCCAGCCTCGGTTGGGGCTGTGTGGGTGGCAGCCAGTCTATGTGTCTCTCTCACATCGATGTTTCCCTCTCTCTCTCTTCCTTCCAATTTCCCTCCAGCTCTATCTGAAGATAAATGCAAAAAAAAAAGTAAAAAAAAAAGAAAGAAAAGAACAATGTTCTAGAATGTGGTAGGGGAGGGTTTCAGGACACAATGTGGATGAGGAAGTTTGCGTTTTTAGAGGCCCCATGGGAAGGTGGCATTTGAGCACAGAGCTGGAGGTAGAATGGAGCTAGCTACCTGGATGTCTAGATTAAAAATGGTCCTGGGAGAGGGAACAGCCCATGCAACAGCCCTGAGGCAGCACCTTGCCTGGTGTGTTGGAGAAACAGCAAGGAGACCCCTGTGCCTGGAACAGAATGAGCAAGGAGATACAGGAAGCGCGTGCAGGGGGAGGGGACAGGAACAGGTCGGCAGAGCAATGTGGGCCAAGGGGAGGACTGGGGGTCGTAACCTGATGAAAGTGTAAGGTGGTTGGGCTGGGAGCAGAGGAGGGAGTGGACCTGAGGAGGGTGCTTACAGGCGCCCTCTGGTGGCTGTTTTGGGGAGGACAGACTGGGAGGCAAGGATGGAAGCTGAGGGACCAGGACAGACATAGCTACCCTGGTTCAGGCCAGTGAAAATGGGGCCTGAACCGGGTCGGGGTAGAAATGAAGTCAAATAGACAAATGGGGGGGGGGGGAACCATTGGAGACAAAGCAACCAATCCTACTCATGGTCTGTACCTGTCCTCTTATACCCAGGGCTCTGGGGTGGGTCTTGATGCCACATTTGTACATGTGCCAGAGACTTGCAATGTACTGGTGTATCAGCCAATACTCACTGCAGTGAAGGCCCATGATGGCTGCAAGTAACTAGACACCGTGCTCCACCCAGAGAGCAGCTTGGCCTGGGCCCACCGGCTAGAGCTAGTTTACTTGAATGAGAAGCCAAACATTTGGGAGAATAGCAAAAAGCTTAAGACAGGTACCAGGCCGGTGTGGCTCAGTGGTTGAGCATCGACCCATGCACCAGAAGGTCGCCGGTTTGATTCCCGGTTTAGGCACATGCTCAGGTTGTGGGCCCGATCCCCGGTGGGGGGCATGCAGGAGGCGGCCCATCGATGTTCTCTCTCATCAATGTGTCTATCTCTCTCCCTTCCTCTCTCTCTAAAATCAATAAAGAAAAAATTTTTTTTAAAAAAGCTTTAGACAGGCTAGATCAGGACTTCCCAGCTGTGGCGCTGCTGCCGTTGGAGCTGGGGCCATCCTGGGCACTTTGTGGGGCTAAGCAGCATTTCTGGTTCTCACCTACTTGATGCCAGGAGCACCCCTAGTTGTGACAACCACAAATATCTCCAGACATTGCCTAGTGTCCCCTGGCGGGGGCAGAATTGCCCCTGATGAGAATCATTGCTTTGACTGTTCTGGAACGTCCTATAAATGGAATCCTGTGGTTCCCTGATGGGTGAAGAGCTCATCTTTATCTCCATTTCTCTCTCTCTCTTTTTTTTAATCCTCACCTGAGGACATTTTTTCTGTTGATTTTTTAGAGAGAGTAGAAGGGAAGAGGTTGTGAGAGAGACTCATCTCCTGCGCTTGCCTCTACCAGGCCGGGGATCGAACCTGCAACCCAGGTACATGCCCTTGACCAGGAATCGAACCCATGACCCTTCGGTGCACCGGCTGACACTAACCACTGAGTGGCACCAGCCAGGACTCTATCTCCTTTTCCATTTGGGATTGCCACAGGTCACTGTTAAATGTCACTCTTTCCCTTGGCTGGAACACTTCCATGGAGAAAGTTTTCTCCACTTTTGATTACCCCCGAGTACAGTTTATTGCGGAAAAGCACCAGCACCCTCCATGGTTGGTAGCTGTTTTTATATTATAGATTTGAACACAGGGATTAACATGACATATTCCAATCTGAAGTATTTATTTTATTGACACTTTATTTGTCCCATTATTTTCGGCCGATTGGAGCCCCCCACGAGCTGGCTGTGAGCCCCATGAGTCTCCCTGAGAATCCCCAGTGGAAAGGGGAAGTCCCTTGCTTTCTGGAGAAGTTCAGTGTTCCAATCAGGGCTGGCAAGCTTCAGTTCTGTGGCTTGAGTGTAGCATGTCACTTGTCCTTTGAGTTTCCAAAACCCAACTGTGAACCTCCTGAAGGATACGATCTGGCTGATGTCTTCCCTACTGAACCCCAAGTTCAGTGCCTGCTGGCCCCTGTAGGTGCTTCGCCTCTGCGAGACTCAGCTGTGGGTTTGGGCCCCTAAAGGCCGGAGGAGAAAGCAGGGTCTGTTGGAGGAAAGTCTTGAGCCAGGCCTGAAAGCTACAGCAGAGAACAGATCCGTCTGAGCAGCTTTGATTTTCTGCATCCATCCACCGAGGATGAAATCAGTCACTGTGCACACCAGAGCTCAAGGTCCTGGGTGGTCTGTAGGTGAGGGTAGGAAGCGCTGTTGCAGTGTCCTGTTAGAGCTAGGTGTGTTAGTGCGGGGCTCGGTCTAGGAGAGCAGCCCTCCCCCCTCCAGGGATCTCCACTTTGCCCAGGGCACCTGCCTCCTCCCCGGGGCTTTGCTGGCTTGCTCAGGCATGCCAGGACTCTGCCAGATATCCTTGGCCTGAACTACAAAGCTGCTTTCAGAACTCGGGGGTTTCCAGACAGCCATAAAGAAGTTCTAGACATTAGCAGGGTGGGTTCAAAGTGTTGGTAGTTTTGGATAGTCTTTGCAAATCTGCCTTTGGTGGTAGAATTGGGAGGAATCTGTTTTTTTCTCAAAGTGCAGGCTTTTATTTTTGCTTCCTCGAAGTGTCTCATGTCTTTTTTGTGTAGTTTTTTAAATGTCAGCATGAAGTAATTCTTCCAGGCCATCTCTTCCCACGTACCTCGGTTGTGGTTCGCAGCCAAGGAACGTGCCCCAGTTTTCTCAACTGTAAAAATGGGAGAACAGCCCTAACCGGCTTGGTTCAGTGGTTAGCGTGTCGGCCCACAGACCAAAGAGTTGCGGGTTCGATTCCAGTCAAGGGCAGGTACCTCAGTTGCAGGCTTGATCCCCGGCCCTGCACGGGGTTGTATAGGAGGCAGTCAGTCAATGTGTTTCTCACATCGATGTTTCTCTCTCTCTCTCTCCCTCCATCCCTCTCTCCACTCTTTCTGAAAATCAATGGCAAAATATCCTTAGTTGAGGATTTTTTAAAAAGTTAAATGGGAGGCCCAGCCGGTGTGGCTCAGTGGTTGAGCATCAACCCGTGCATCAAGAGGTCTCCAGTTCGATTCCTGATCAGGGCACATGCCCAGGTTGTGGGCCAAATTCCTAGTGGGGGGCATGCAGAAGGCAGCCAATCGATGTTTTCTCTCATCGATGTTTCTCTCTTCCCCTCTCCCTTCCTCTCTCTCTAAAATGAATAAAGAAAAAAATTTTTTTTTTAAAGTTAAATGGGAGAACAGTGCCTACTTCACAGAGTTAAGATTTGACAAGAATGCCCGTGAAGCACCTAGAACATTGTGAAAGATTGGCCACTGTTAATATGTTCCAGGCACTAATACAGGATCAGCTGACTTTTTTCTGTAAAGGACCAGATCATAAGTATTTCAGTCTCTGTTGGGCAAGAAGCCACAAACTCCACTATTGTAGTTTGAAAGTAGCCCCAAACAATATATAATGAACATGCATAGTTGTATTCACCATTCATACAAAACCAGAGATGCTTTGGATGTGTCCTTCGGGATGTAGTTTGCAGACCTTCAAGCTAGTCTAAGGCCTCTTAATCCTGGGAAGTTTGGTTTTCATCATACCCATTTTGCAGATGGGGAAAACTAAGGCCGGGAAATCTATCACTCCAAGGCCTCAAAGCTTGCAAGCATCAAACTTGGGTAGTCATGCGAAACCAAGGGCCATACTCTAGTGTGTCAGGGAGCCTGAGCTGCTTGCTCTGTCGGCACCCCAGCCTTCATGATGCTTTTCCTTCCTCCCCGCTTACAGCCCACCTCGCCACACCCCTGGAGGGCGACGATGTCTCCGTGCAGCAGCAGCGGCAGGAGCAGAGCTACTTCGTGCGTCTGGGCTCCCTGTCGGAGCGGCTGCGCCAACAGGCCTACAAACATTCGCTGGGCAAACTGCAGCACACCAGGCAGAGGGCCCAGGAGGCCCTGCTGCAGCTGACACAGGCACTCAGCCTGGTGAGGCCCTGCCCACGCCATGGGGATGCAGCACAGCATCATTCTCTTTCATGAACCCTCTCCCGACCTAGTGGCTTATGCTCACTATTCTGCATGTCCGCCTGGGCTGGTTCATGGGCTGAGGTCCTGGATGAATTTGCAGGAGTCACCATAACCAAGCCCCATGGTCTGTGCAGCTTAAACAACAGACATTTTTGTCCCAGTTCTAGAGGCTCGAAGTGCTGACAGGGTTGGTTGTCGTTTGGGCTGTAGAGGGCCATCTTCCTGTGTCCTTACATGGTCATTACTCTGTGAGTGGCTGTGTCCTAATCTCTTTTCTAAGGACTGCAGTCATACTGGATTAAGGCCCACCCTCTAACAACCTGATCACAAATATAGTCATATTCTGAGGTCCTGGGGGTTAGGGCTTCATGTACGGACCTGGATGGGACATAGTTCAGCCCCTGACAGGTTGGCTGGAGGCTGGGCCTCTCCAGGGTCCTCCTCCAGCCAGCCAGCTCTTCCCCGGGAAGTGGTCTGAGGGATCCAGTACAGCGAGAGCACATAAGACTCTTTTTTTTTGTTTGTTTCAAGTCAGTTTCATAGAGATATAATTTACGTAAAATAAAAATCACACTTTTTTAAGTGTACCATTCGAAGAGTTTTATAAATATAAATGGACAGACATATCACTGCCACCGAAATCGAGACTTGGAGTATTTCCATCATCCCATAAATTTCCCCTGCCTCTTTACAGTCCAGTATCCCCACCTAGGTCTTTTATTTTTGTGTTCCCTAAAGAGCTAAATTGCTATTATTTCCTCTCAACTTCCTCTGCTAAGTATATTCTCTCTCTCTTTTAGAATAGTTTTAATTATGGAAAACCACACATAGCATAAAATTCACCATCATAACCAGTTGTGAGTACAGCTCAGTGGCATTTGGCACATTCATACTCGTGTAGCTATTCCCACCATCCATCTCTAGAACTTTCTCATCTTCCCAAAGTGACACTCTGTCCCTATTAAACACTCCCCATCTCCCCAACCCCAGTCCCTGGCTCCACGCATCTACTTTTTGTCTATAAATCTGACTCCTCTAGGGACCTCCTGTGAGTGGAACCACAGTATTTGCCCTTTTGTGTCTGACTCATGTCAATGAGTGTAATGTCCTCCGGGTTCATCCCCACTGTAGCAGTTGTCAGCATTTCCTGCCTTTTCAGGGCTGAATAATGTTCCATCACTAGCACTTTTTAAGCCTCTGTTTCTATTCCATCTGCTCATGTTCTGTTGGCCACAGCATCAGGTGGCCAGGCCCAGTTGCAAGGGGAGGGGAGAAACAGACAAAATAGGAGGGGCTGCAGAAAAGTTTTGACCAGTTTGTAGTTATGGAAACTGTGCGGAAACAGCTCCTCTCCCTTCTTCCCTCACCTCATCTCATTAAAGGAGGACTCCCCAGGCTCCCTCTGGAGTCCTCCCTCTGGATGCACAGGGGCTCCGCTGACCTTGGTCAAGCACCGGAGGCAGCCTTTCTCACTGCTCGCTCTCCTGTTCCAGATGGAAAATGTCAAGCAGGGAGTTGATCAGAAGCTGGTGGAAGGTCAGGAGAAACTACACCAGATGTGGCTCAACTGGAACCAGCAGCAGCTCCAGGGCAAGGAGGGGGACCCAGTAAAGCCAGAGGTACCCATTGTGGGGCTGGGGACGGGGTGCTTGGGGCCCTGACTTCTCTTTCCACACCTCTGCTCGATGGGCCAACCTGCCTGAAATGCTTCCCCCAGCCTCGCTTCCCATTAACTGCCTCCAGGGCTCACCAACACCTCCTCTGGGAAGCCTGCCTAGTTTTCTACTTGGGTGTGGGTGTTGCTTCTTCTTTTTTTTTTGTCATGTGCTTCAAACGATTCTTTCATAATTGAGATTTTATTGTTTGTTTTGAGGATAAGTACACAGACATTTCAATTTGTACACAATTCTTAACATAAGTACCAAAAATGTAATTTTGGTAGTTGTGATTCTTTTCTAAACTGTTATTCCAGCCCTGGCCAGTTTGGCTCAGCGGTTAGAGCGTCGACCTGCGGTCCGGAGAGACCCGGGTTCGGTTCCCGCTAAGGGCACGTACTTCGGTTGCAGTTTGTCCCCGGCCCTGGTCGGTTGTGCGGGTGGCAGCCACTCGATGTGTCCCTTCACATCGATGTTTCTCACTCTCTCTCCCTTCCTCTCTCTCCCTCCCACTCTATCTGTACAAAAAATGGAAAAAATATCCTCGGGTGAGGATAAAAAAAAATAATAATAAAATAAACTGTTATTCCAGTGACTTTCCAGCTTAAGATTTGGAGGCTAATTTTCCTCAAGAGTATCAAGTACCAATATCTTCAAATGTTGATCTGCTGTTACATCAAAGTCCCACTAATTCACAATTTAATATCATATATATTACATAATCAAATTTTCAATCTTTCATAGCACATTAACAAATTTACTAGGAAGACTGGACTACCACACCAAAGATGCTACAGAGTGCACGGACTTCCGACGGGGAGAGCCAAGATCAAGGAGTGGTTTCTTTAGGAAACAATTATACCAAAAACATGGGAATAGAAGTAATTTAAAATGTTCAAGACATTAAATGCACAACTGACTCCAAACTGCCATTTAGTATGCTTTGTCTTATAGGATATAAAAACCTCCCCCAGCTATGGAATGTTAAGCTGACACCCAAGACAATCAAAGCCTTCCATATTCAATATCCTGCTATTTTCTGGTTGTACCAAAAAATAAACAACCAGCAAATGATTTCACCTCTTTAAAAAAAGCATTTACACTTTAAAAAAAGGGATGAGGTGGAATTTCCTCCTTAAAAATGTTTCTAGAGCTACTAAAAACTTGCATTTAAAAAATAGTTGATAAAAATATTCCTCTGGATTGTACAAGAAGGGAGACAGGGACCACTGATCAGATATGGTAAATGATATCAATCCGACTTGACTTTTTTACTGCTTCATCTGAGACTGGATTCTCCTCGTTTGTAGTTTCTCCGCGGGTAGATCTTCTGTAGGTTCCTCCGCGGGTAGATCTTCTGTAGGTTCCTGGTCAGCCACTTCGGCCTGCTTTCCCTTTGCTCCCCTTTTCCCTTTCGTTTGCACTTTCTTGTCTGCAGATTTATCCTTTCCCATCGCCTTTTTTGGCTTTGTTTCCACTTTTGTAGGAGCAGGTTTGGCTGACAACCTCGCTGACCTTCTCTTGGGCTCCTCCTTCGTCGCCCCTTCGGGGGAGCTAACCTTCCTCTTGGGCATCCTGGCAGTGGGGCGGGCACATGCTGAGTGCCTGAGGGCCACCCCGTGCCTTGTGGCTTTGGGAACCTGGGCTGCCTGGCCACTGCCGCTTCTCCCTCCGCCCAAGCTGCTCGGACCGGACCGGACCGCAATGGGGGCAAAGGGAGAACCGGATGAAACCTGATCCTGGGACTCTTGATAGTGATGTGTCTCAACCTGATAAATTCTAAGCTGTCTTTTTTTTTTTATTATTGATTTTAGAGAGAGAGAGAGAGATCGACAAGAGAGAACACTGAAGGCCATCTCCTGCATGCCCCCCATTGGGGGTTGGGCCCCCAACCTGGGCAAGTGCCCTGACTGGGAATCAAACCAGCAACCTCTTGGTGCATGGGTTGATGCTCAACCACTGAGCCACACAGGCCAGGCATGTCTTGTACTTTTAAAAACAGTTTTAATTATTGAGATATAGTTCACATATTGTACAATTCACCTACTTAAAGTGTATGATTCAGTGGTTTTTAGTATACAGATGCTCCTCAACTTACAATAGGTTACTTCCTGATAAACCCATTATAAGTTGAAAATATTGTAAGTCTGCACTGGCTGGTTTGGCTCAGCGGTTAGAGCGTCAGCCTGCGGACCAGAGTGTTGGGTTCGGTTCCCGATAAGGGCATGTGCCTCGGTTGCAGTTCGTCACCAGCCCTGGTTGGAGTCGTGTGGGTGGCAACCAATGGATGTGTGTCTCTCACATTAATGTTTCTCTCTCTCTCTCTCCCTCCCTCCCTCCCTCCCTCCCTCTCTAACTGAAGGTAAATGCAAAAATGTCCTTGGGTGAGGATAAAAAAACAAAAACAAAATATTGTAAGTCGAAAATGCATTTGCACCTAACTGCCAAACATCACAGTTGAGCCCAGCCCACTGTGAACGTACTCAAAACACATCCATTAGCCTGGCCAGTGTGGCTCAGTGGTTGAGCGTCAACCCATGCACCAAAAGGTCACCAGTTTGATTCCCAGTCAGGGCATAAACCTGGGTTGTGGGCTTGATGCCTGGGTTGTGGGCTCCATCCCTGTTAGGGGGTGTGTAGGAGGCAGCTGACCGATATTCTGCTCTCACATTGATGTATCTCTCTATCTCCCTCTCCCTTCCTCTCTCTAAAAAAATCAATAAAAATACATTTTTAATTTTAAAAAAAATTTTAATCGATATTTTAGAGAGGAAGGAAGAGAGAGATAGAAACATTGATGTGAGAGAGAAACATCGATCGGCTGCCTCCTACACACCCCTCACTGGGGATCAAACCTGCAACCTGGGCTTGTGCCTCAACTGGGAATCGAACCAGGACCTCTCAGTCCATGGGATTATTCTCAATCCACTGAGCCACACTAGCTGGGCAATAAAAATGTTTTTAAAAAATGATTTTAGGGAGAGGAAGAGAGAGAGGAAAACATCAATGTGAGAGAGCAACATCGATCAGTTGCCTCCTGCACATGCTCTGACCGGAGATCAAACCCACAACCTGGGTATGTGCCCTGACTGGGAGTTGCCTGTCACCTTTTTGGTGTTTAGGGTGATGCTCTAACCAGCTGAGCCACACCGGCCGGGGCAGTGCTTCACTCCTCAGAGCTGAGTACTGTTCCGGTGAGGGACCACAGTGTTGGATGTGCATGGTCACCAGTTGATGGACATCTAGGTTGTTTCCACTTTTGGCTGTTGTAAATAGTGCTCCTGTGAACACTGGTGTACAGGTTTTTGTGTGGACGTATGCTTTCATTTCTTTTCGGCAGTTACTAGGTGGAGTACTGCTGCGTATGTGGTAACTCTATGGTTTAACATTTTGAGGAACCACCAGTCAGTGACTGCACCACTGGCCAGTCCCAGGGCTCCAGTTGCTCCCCGTCCTTGCTGACTCTTGTTATTACCTGTCTTTGTGATTCCAGCTGTCCCCGTGAGTGGGAAGCGGTGTTTCATCGTGGGGTTGAGTTGCATCTCCCTAATGGCTAATGAAGTTGAACATCGTGTGCTTATTGGCCACCTGTGTGTCTTCTTTGGAAAAATGTCTGTGCCTGTTTATCATTTTTAATTTATTTTTAAAACATTTTTTAAGATGTATTTTTTATATGTCTTTATTTTATTTTATTTTATTAAAGACATTTTTTTCTTTGTTGATTTTAGAGAGGAAGGAAAAGGGAAAGAGAGATAGAAACATTGATGAGACAGCACATTGATTAGCTGCCTCCTGCATGCCCCCCACTAAGGATTTGGCCCACAACCTGGGCAGGTGCCTTGACCAGGAATTGTATTTATTTATTTATTTTTTATCCTCACCTGAGGACATTTTTCCATTTTTTGTTCAGATAGAGCGGGAGGGAGAGAGAGAGAGAGAAACATCGACGTGAAAGGGACACATCGAGGGGTTGCCACCCACATGACCAGCCAGGGCCAGGGACAAACTGCAACCGAGGTACGTACCCTTAGCGGGAACCGAACCTGGGTCTCTCTGGACTGCAGGCCAACTCTCTAACCGCTGAGCCAAACCGGCCAGGGCCTGACCAGGAATTGAACCGGCAACCTCTTGGTACATGGGTCGACGCTCAACCACTGAGCCACACCGGCTAGGCTCTTTATTGATTTTTTAGAGAGAGAGGAAAGGAAAGGGAAAGAGAGATAGAAACATCAATGAGAGAAAATCATCAACATCGATCGGCTGCCTCCTTCACACACACCCAACTGAGGATCGAGCCCTCAACCCGGGCATCTGCCCAGACCGGGAATCAAACTGGCAGCCTCTTGGTGCATGAGTTGACATTCAACCACTGAGCCACACTGGCCGGGCTATGCCTGTTTTTCATTTGACCTGTGTATATCTCACGGTTCAAGACTCTAAGAGCTGGCCCTGGCTGTGTGGCTCAGTTGGTTGGAGCATTGTCAAGTACACCAAAAAGGTGGAGGATTCAATTCCCGATCAGGGCACATACCCGGGTTGGGTTCGATCCCTGGTCGGGGCGGATGTAGAAGGCAACCAATCAATGTTTCTCTCTGCTATCAATGTTCTTTTCTCTCTCTCTCTCTAAAAATCAATAAAGTTTATTTTAAAAAATCTCTGGTAAGAGCTGATATTCCAAACAACAGTGCTAGCGGCTCCCTATGGAAGGTTTTCCCAAAGGCGGGTTTTTCTTTTTCCCCAGCTTTGGATCCAGTTTTCCCCACAGCAGTGGTCCTGATCACCCCCCTCCTCCCCCGCCCCACTCTCCCTTCTCAGCAGGTCGAGTCCCAGACGCTCGCCATGTTCCGTGACATTGCCCAGCAGCTGCAGGCCACCTGTACCTCGTTGGGGTCCAGTATCCAGGGGCTGCCCACCCATGTGAAGGACCAGGTGCTGCAGGCTCGCCGCCAGGTGGAGGACCTCCAAGCCACCTTTTCTGGCATTCATTCCTTCCAGGACCTGTCCAGCAGCATCCTGACGCAGAGCCGTGAGCGAGTTGCCAAGGCCCGGGAGGCCCTTGACCACATAGTCGAGTATGTGGCTCAAAACACACCCATCACATGGGTGGTGGGACCCTTCGCCCCCGGAGTCACTGAGAAAGCCCCAGAAGAGAAGAAGTAGGATAGACAGGAAGGGGGCTCGGGGTCTCGGTCCCTCCCTGAGGGGCCGACAAGGAGCACTGGACTCCTTGCCCCCAGCTCATCTCAGCTATTGCTTGGGAAGCTGAGGTCTTCCAAACAGACCAGCCCCTCCCTGTCTCTGACCCTGGAGGAGGCATGTTCTGAGCCTTACGTCATCAGTCATTAGTGTGAGGTTTCTGGAAATTTTTTTTCTGGAAGTTTCAAACAAATTGTTTTAGGAGAAGGTTCCCAAAAAATGTTTTTTCTTTCCTAAAAATCAGGGATATAGTTCTTCTACCCCACTTCCTTTTCTATATCAAGGGCCACAGACTTCAGTCATCAGGTATTGGATGGACTTCTGGTCTGTGAAGTGGGCCTCCTGCGACAGGTTGGAGGTGGGGCCACCTAGGTGCATTCTAGAGCAGAAGGGGGCTGAGGCCTGCCTGGCAAGCCGTAGGTGCCTGGAGTTTGTGTTGCCTTAATAAATTTTATCTGCAGCTAAATACAGGCGTCTGTGTGTGTGTGTGTGTTTGTTTCCAGCAGCTGGGCAATGCCGGCATCTCCATGTGGCCACTTCCGCCCCATTTTTGCTTTGCTCAGAAGGGTGGGACAGGTGGACTTGCTACTGAACTTGAAGTTTGACACTCAGTGTCTCAGACAGCCCATGCTGGTTGGCAGTGATGTGCTCACCATCCTTGCTTGGCCTTGAGGCATCGAATTTGGTCCTGGATGTTGCCAAAAAGGGCCGGGTGCGGGGGCCTCTCATCCCTACCCTGGCATGCCGGAGTCTTGCCCTGTGTCATGTCATGTCATAGGTACGTGGCAGAAGCAAAAGGGCTGCTGCTTTTCTTGTAGTGGAACTTCCTAGGTGTGTGGGGGACCAGTGTGGCAGGCTGACTCCCCAAAATGTCCACATTCGAATCCCCAGCACCTTCCATGGCAAAGGGGCTTTGCAGATGGGATTCACCTAAGGATCTGGAGGTGAGAGGTGATCTTGGATGATCCAGGTGGGCCCTAAACGTTGTCACAAGGGTCCTTATGTAAGAGGGAGGTTGGAGGGTCAGAGTTGGAGGTGTGAGGACAGAAGCAGAGATGGGAAGATCTCTGCTGTGTACCTCGATGATGAGTGCAGCCACGAGCCAGGGATTCAGGCGCCTTTAGAAGCTGGAAAAGGTAAGAAGCCAGTTCTTCCCTGAAGTTTCCAGAAGGAAACAGCCCTGCCAACACCTTGATTTTTACCCCAGAAGACTCATTTCAGACGTCTGACCTCCAGAACTGACAAATGAAGCATTGTGATTTTTTCTGCCTCTCAGTTTGTGGTCATTGGTTACAGCAGCTGCAGGGAATTCACACCACGTGCGAGGAATTCAAATCGCCACCGAATAGAACTCAGCTTGTCCACTTGTGTCACTGGCCGCTCCCATTGCTAAGCTGACCTTTACTTACAACACCGAAGCCGGAGCCTCTCATTCCTACTGTGGCCCAGGCCGTTCCACTACTGCACACACAAACCCCTTTCATAGCCTCAACCTTGCAGGGTAGGTGTCCCCACTTTACAGATGACAAAACGGAAGCACCCAGCCAGGGAACACGGTTGCCTCCTCTCAGCCACATCCACAATGCCACGGATCTGTGCTCGCTCTGTTTGCTGCGTGGTCCTGAGGGCCAGGCATTCTGTGCTCCTTGGTGCTGGCTGGATGACGCTGGACTCCAGCTCAGTGATGGGACATAGGTCTGCCAGCCAGGTCCCTGGTGTGGGACCCTCAGTGGGGGCCTTTGCCTCTCTATCCCTCAGTGTCATCATCTGAGATCCAGCTTCAGCGTAGTTCTGGTGCCAAGGTTGTGCATTTAAAGAGCCTGGTGCTTAGGGTATCTCAGGGTCTGTCCCCCTAGGCACAGTGCACATTTGAGGCTGGGTCATTCTCTGGGGGGGCCATCCAGGGCATGGTGAAGGGGGTGTTGAGCAGCATCCCTGGTCCCCACTCACTGGATACCAGGAGACGCCCTCAGTCATGATGACCACAGCTGTCCTCAGACATTGCCTAATCACCCCTGGGTGAGAACCACTGAGTTAGCTGGCTTCATCCCAAACACTTATTTTCCTGCCTTTTGCTTAAGTTAGTTAACTTAGATTCCCCAAAGTGGGCTGTTAATCTGGCAGGAAGCAAATCTCTCTTTAGACTAATGATACTAATCTGGGATTGGGCAAACCGCAAGTCAGATGCTGTTCTGAGCACTTGGTGGATGTCAGCCTCACCCTCATCTCAACCCTCTGGGGTAGTTGCTACTAATCTTCCCATTTCATAGATGGGGGAACTGAGGCAGATAGGAAACCAATAATTTGCTCAAAATCTCCTGGTCATTAAGTGGTGGACCTGGGTCTCAGACCAAGGTGGCTGGCCCTGGAGCCCACAAGGGCTTGGCAACTCGGGGTTCTTATCTTTCTTCATGTACTCTGACCCCCTGGCTGACTGGCTTCCCCTCTGCCCATCATTGTTCCCTCCCTTCTGAAAAACAGGATGTAGTAATTAGCTATTGCCATGTAACAAGTTAACACAAACATAGTAGCTTTCAACACATTTCCCCGCATATTTCATAGTCAGTTGTAATGTAATTAGAGGATTGTCTGTCCATCACAGGCAGCATCCAATCTGCTATATATATATATTTTTTTAAATATGTTTTTATTGATTTTAGAGGAAGAGGGAGGGAGAGAAACATTGTGAAAGAGAAACATTAATCGGTTGCCTCCTGAGCAGGGATTGAACCCACAACTGGGGCATGTGCCCTGACCAGGGATCAACCAACTGAGCCACACTGGCCAGGGCCAGTCTGCTCTTTTGTGTTCATTCCTGTTCTGACACATGAGCAATTGCAGGCTTTTCATTTTTCTTATTTTTTTTCATTTCAGAGAGAGGGAGGGAGAGAAATATTGATTTGTTCCATCTATTTATGCATTCATTCGTTGCTTCTTGTGCATGCCCTGACTGGAGATCAAATCCACAACCTTAGCATATTGGGATGATGCTCTAACCAGCTGAGCTACTCGGCCAGGGCCTTCAGGTTTTACTTAATAAAAAGAATACTGTTGGTGGCCCTGGGGAAATCCCCTCTATCTTAAAAGGTGGGATGGGAAGAGGAAGGATATTCTCTTTTGCAAAGTCCGTGGCCCGCAAATTTTTAGTATCCCATCCTTGGTAGGAAAAGCTTGCCAGCCTGTGCTTGAGACCACTGTACTGTACTTTGTTACATTGTACTGCTTAGACTTAAATATTCCTCCCAGTGTTTAAAAGCTGCAGTGTGTTTTGCGACAGTAACTGTAGACATCGTCATGCCACACTTAAGGCTAACGGTGTGGCACACTCCAGCAGTGGCTCGCTGGTGATGTTGGCAGACGGACAGCAAATGCTTGGTGCTGGAACGATGGGATGAAGCAGCATGATGTCTGTCCCCAACTGAGGCATGGAAGGGAGAGGGAGACTTTGGCTCATCCCTGCCCCAGGCCCACTAGAGAGCTGAAATGACCTTCTGTACTTTCTCATTAGCAAGGGCAGGGCAATGTTGCTTTCTCCTGAGGGCTCTGGGTCTGATGGGCAAGGATTTACAGAGCCTTATTTTAAAAACAACCTGAGACACCTCCCCTATGTTCTAGCAGCCCCATTCCTGTGTTTGTACCCAAACTTTGTGCAGGTGTCCACACAAAGATGTGCCCCCAAATGTTCATAGCAGCTTTGTTCACAACAGCCTCCAACTGGAACATAACCCATGTGCACCCAGAAGAGAACAGATAAGCAAATTGGATTCACTGGTGGAATATTATGCAGCAAGGAATAAGGATACATTTTCGATATTTGTAACCACATGGATGAAACTCACAAGCATGATACTGAGTGAAAGAAGCCAGACACAAAAGAATACATATTCTGGTTCCATTTCTCTCTCTCTTCCTCCCTTCTTCCCTCCCTCCCTCCCTTCCTTTCTTCTTTCCTTCCTTCCTTCCTCTCTCCCTCCCCCCTCCCTTCCTCTCTTCTCTTCTCTTCTCTTCTCTTCTCTTCTCTTCTCTTCTCTTCTCTTCTCTTCTCTTCTCTTCTCTTCTCTTCTCTTCTCTTCTCTTCTCTTCTCTTCTCTTCCCTTCTCTTCCCTTCTCCTCTCTTCTCCTCTCTTCTCCTCTCTTCTCCTCTCTTCTCCTCTCTTCTCCTCTCTTCTTTCTTCCTCACCAGAGGATATTTTTCTGTTTGTCTTCAGATAGAGTAGGAGGGAGAGAGAGAGAGAGAGAACAGGAGAGAGAGAAACATAGACATGAGAGGGACACATCGACTGGTTGCCTCCCGCACAACCCTGACCAGGGCCAGGGATGAACTGCAACCAAGGTACGTGCCCTTGGCTGGAATCAAACCTGAGACTCATTGGTCCACAGGCCGACACTCTACCACTGAGCCAAAGGGGCCAGGGCTGGTTCCATTTCAATGAAGTTTCAAGACAGTGAAACTAAACTATGATGAGTGAAATTCACACAGTAATTGCACCATGGCTAATGAAGAAGGAAGGGGCTGATAGGGAATTTCTTGCCGCTGAAATGACCTACATCTTGATCTGGGTGTTGGTTAGAGGGTATATATATATATATACAGGAGATATATATATATATATATATATATATATATATATATATATATATATATAAAATCTCGAAAGTCCACTGACCTGGTCATTTAAAATTTATATACCATAGAACCTATGAATGATACTTCCAACACAAATTTAGAAAGTGAAAGTAACATTCCGCGGTGGATGGAGGAAATGAGCCCTTTCGTTCATTCTCAGTGAGACTGCAAACAGGGAGTGCTGATTTGGAGAACAATAAGTAGTATTTAGTAAGAGCGAGAATGTATCTTCGCCACGTCAGAGAAGTCCCAGAAGTTCCCCTTCTCTGCAGCTACCCCACAGTAACTCTGTTGACAGCATGTTACAAGGGAGGGAGACTGAGGCACAATTCAGAGGGCTAGCCCCTGGCCCCACCTCACAGATAGTGTCAGAGTTTGAACTCAGCACTCAGATTCCCCACCACCACCTGGCACTGTTCATAACCACCATCTTGTAAGGCATCAATGCCTGTTAGGGAATAGTGAAAGTAACCAACATGTCCAATGACAGGGGACTCAATAAATTGTGAGACCATAACACACTTAAAAAGAACAAGGTTGGCCCAGCTGATGTGGCTCAGTGGTTGAGCGTCGACTCATGCAGCAAGAGGTCGCTGGTTCAGTTCCCAGTCAGGGTACATGCCCAGGTTGTGGGCCAAATCTCCAGTGAGGGGCATGCAGGAGGCAGCCAGTCGATGTTCTCTCTCATCAATGTTTCTATCTCCTTTCTCCCTCTCTCTCTAAAATCAATAAAGAAAAACAAGGTTGGACTACATGTAGTGGAGTAGAAAAATGTTAGAGATGTCAACGGAACAAAGCTAAATATTAATGCTGGCTATGTCCGGAATCAGTGAAATACAGCCCCTGTCCAGCTTGCCACATGATTTTTGTAAATAAAGTTTTATTGGCACAGAGCCACGCTCATTTATTGACACAGTATCTGTAGCTGCTACAAGGGCAGTGTCAGGTAGTTGTAACATAGACGGTCTGGCCAGTAATGCTGACAATAATTTCTAACTGGTGCTGACTTCTGGCAGATATGAATTGTAAAGACAAACCAGACTGAGGAACATAAAATATCACACTCATGAGCCACAGCCAGGCAGCTCAGTTGGTTACAGCAGCCTCCCAATATACCAAGGTTGGGGTATGATTCCCCCAGTCAGGGCACATACAAGAAGCAACCAATGAATGCCTAAGTAAGTGGAACAACAAATCAATGTTTCTCTCCCCTCCTCTCACTAGAAATCAATAAAATTTTACAAATCATTAAGCCTGGCTGGTGTGGCTCAGTGGTTGAGCGTTGACCCATGCATCAAGAGGTCACCGGTTTTGCCCTGGCTGGTTTGGCTCAGTGGTCAGAGCATTGGCCTGCGGTCCCGAGAGACCTGGGTTCGGTTCCCGCTAAGGGCACGTACCTCAGTTGCAGTTTGACCCCAGCCCTGGTTGGAGTCGTGTGGGTGGCAACCAGTCAATGTGTCTCTCTCACATTGATGTTTTTTTCTCTCTCTCTCTCCCTCCCCTCTCCTTCCCACTCTATCTGAAGATAAATGCAAAAATGTCCTCGGGTGAGGATTAAAAAATAATAATAATAAGAGGTCACCGGTTTGATTCCCGGTCAGGGTACATGCCCAGGTTGTGGGCCTGATTCCTAGTGGGGGGCAGGCAGGAGGCAGCCAATCGATGTTCTCTCTAATAATGTTTCTATCTCTCTCTCCCAAAAAAATAAATAAATAAAAATTGTTAAATATTCATTATTAAAAATAAAGATCACATTCATGGATATGTATATATGTATGTAAAACTGAAGAAATGGGCACCCAAGTGGAGGTTCCCCTTCCTGGTACAGGAAAGAAAAATTGGATGGGAACCTGGATCTCACCTGGAATGCGGTCTTTCTTTCACTGAAGCAGAGAGGTGAGTAACCTGTCTGCATCTGCTCAGATTTATCCATCTGGAGCACAGGGTTTCCACTGGAAGACGGCATGCTCCAGCCCTGTTACTTCCTCTGAGCCTCAGCATTCTAACCTATGAAATGGGCACATTCAAGCCTACGGAAAGATTAAGATATGGATCAGATGTATTTGGCTTGGGTACAGATGCCAAAAATTGGTGATGGTGGGCCAGGGGGGAGAGAGGCATGGGAAGATGGGTTTAATGCGCTCTTCCCTTCCAACTCTAGAAGCCCCTAAATCTGGCATACCTTTCTTCCTGAGGTATCCCCAAAGCTTGCCCATGCCTAGCACACAGTAGATAAAACTCTCTCACCAGAGTCAGGCACTAAATAAGGGCCCCCTAGCAGATTTGCATCCGTATAACTTCCATTTGCAGCATCCTCCCCCCCAACCTTTAGGTGAACTTTGTCCTGAGATCCATGGGCCTCTTGGGGAACCTGATAATGGAGTTCAGGGTGTCGATGAATTGCTGGGGCGAAAAAATGCACATCTTTATTTTCACTGACTAATCGATATCTGTCATTTCCTTAATTATGAACGAAGGCAACAGCAGGACTTGTGAGTTTGTCCCTAATTGAAAACCACCGGTATTTTCATATCAGATTGCATTGCTGCAGCTGGCTCAAAATACAGCTGACACTCATCTCCACTACAAAGTCACTGCAGTTACTGGATCTTGTTAGTGAATATAAAAGTGTACATAAAGATGTCTCCCTAAGTGCTCTTTGTTTCAGTATAGCTCTATTTCAAAAGTATTTTTTAAGTGATTGTCTTACAAGTTTTTTTTTTAAGTTTTAAAAATTGCAGTTAAATATACTTAATATAAAACTTACCATCTTACCCTTTTTTAAGTGCACAGCTCAGTGGCATTAAGTACATTCACACTGTTGTACAACCATCCCCACCATCCATCTCCAGAACTTTCTCATCTTCCCAAACTGAAACTTTTACCCATTAAACATTAACACTCCCCTCTCCCCAGCCCCTGGCTAGCACTGTCTTTCTGTCTTTATGAACCTGACTCCTCTAGGGACCTCATATGAGTGGAATCATACAGTATTTGTCCTTCTGTGTCTGACTTATATCACTAAGCGTAATGTCCTCAAGTTTTATTCATGTTATAGCAGATGTCAGAACTTCCTTTTTGAGGCTGAACAATACATAGCCCATTGAATTGCTATACCACATTTTGTTTATTCATTCATCTGATGATGGGTTGCTAATTAAAAAACTATTTTAATAAATGCATTTCAACATAAATGTCCTTGAAACCTCTTGTATTTTGTGAAATCTACAAATGGTATTTTGAGAAGGGGCTCCTCCATTCTCCAGGCAGACAAAGGACCTACACAAAGGTATTTATAATTTTAATAAATGAATGAATAAATAAGTAAATAAGTAAATAAATAAAAATTAAATTTTACAACTGCATTAGTATAAACACGAATATAACCCAAGCTGGAATTCTATTCCTTGTTTTCTGATTTTATTTTATTATTATTTTTAAACATTTATTTTATTTTTTTAAGTCCTCCCTCGAGGATACTTTTTTATTTATCTTCAGATAGCGTGGAAAGGAGGGAGGGAGAGACATCTATGTCAATTGGTTGCCTCCCGCCAACCGGACCAGGTCCAGCCCAAATCTAAACCGAGGTCTGAGCCCTTAACCAGAATCGAACCGCCACTCTTTGGTCCGCCAGCCGGAGCTCCTTCCCCTGCGCCAGACTGGCCAGGGCTATTTTCCGATTTTAAAAGAAATAAAATATTTTTGTTGCCCCTAAATATGGTCGTCCTGAGTACGGCATCCTACCTATGCCGCATGGATCTGTCCCCTCTGGGTCCAGGACACCGGACAGGTTAGGACCCCTGCAAATTCTAAACCGTCGTGTTTGCAGCTTCAGCTATGCCATCTCCTTCCCCTCCTCCCACCACAGGGGTTTCCTCAAACCCCTCGGCCAGCCAGGATTCCTGTTCCTAATTTTGAGGCGCCCCACCCACCACCCACCATTTTCCCAGCCCCTGTTTTATTTCCTGGACAGTACTGATCAAGTACTGATCATGAACTGAGATGATCTCTTTTTTTTTTTATCCTCACCTGAGCTTTTTTTTTTTTCCATTTTTTTGTTCAGATAAAGTGGGAGGGAGGGAGAGAGAGAGAGACATCGACGTGAAAGGGACACATCGAGTGGCTGCCACCCGCACGACCAACCAGGGCCGGGGACAAACTGCAACCGAGGTACGTGCCCTTAGCGGAACCGAACCAGAGTCTCTCCGCTCTGACCGCTGAGCCAAGCCGGCCAGGGCGAGATGCTCTCATTGTGGTTCTTGTCCCACGAGCCTGCCTCGTCCCCGAGCGGCGGCCCCTCTGCTCCGGCCTGGCTCCCAGAGCTGCGGCAGGAAGTGCCCGACTGCAGCCTCGGGCGGCACCGAACGGAGGAGGGTGGCGCTGTGGGGCGTCTTGGGGACTTTCCGCGTCCGACAGGACCGGCGTGACCTCACCCCTTTTCCACCCCCGCCTACGGCGGCGGAAGGGGTGGGCAGAGGCCCCGAAGGAAGACGGGTCTGTGCGCCCGCCGCGCCGGGTTCTCCGCCTGCACCGCCGCCAGCGGTCGTGCCGCAGACCCGGCCCCGAGGACGCGAGCGGTGCCGCCGGCCGCCTCGAAGCCCGGGTAAGGGGGGAGGGGCCGCGGGCCCGCTGGGGAGGGGCGTGGCGCTGTCGGGGCGCCTGCTGGTAGCTGGGCGCCCGCGGCCCCTCGCCGGGGTTCGAGGCCGGCTGCCCCGCCCGCAGAGCTTCTGGCGTCGGAGCGCTGCGTTTTCAGTGCCCCTTTCAAGGCTGCAGCTCCGCTCCTGGTCACTCAGGTCCTCCCCAATCCCCCATTCTTCCCTCACCCCGAATTCCTTTCCAGTCCCTCAGATCTCTTCCTAGCCTCCCAGGTCTTCCCCAGCTCCCCATTTCTCCCCCATGTTTCTGATTGCTTCCCGAATCTCAGAGCTTTCTCTGGCCCAGCCCCTATACCTCCTGCCCCAGGAACGCTGCCCCTGCTGCCCCCACCGCCCCTCTTCTCAGCCCCTTCCGAGCCCTGAATCCTCACCTGTCACAGGGACCCCCAGACCCCCTCCCCGGGTAGGTCCCTTATCCTCCCTGGGCCAGCTGAGATCAGGAATATCTAGCCTCCCACATCTCTTTTCGTAGGGCGTACGGGGTTGGTACCAGGAGCTGCTGCAAGTCTGCCCAGTACTGGCGCTGGCACCAGTGAGAGCCCACGTTGCCCCAGACAGACACATCTGTCTTCCCTCTCACTGTGGCTAAGGCAGGGGATTGGGTGAGGGGGTACCACAGCGTGACCCAGGCGGGCTGGAGGTCTGGGATATGGATTCCAGAGTTGGGGGGTGGGGCACGCTGGGAAACTGCCTGGGCCTCTGTTTTCTCCTCTCATTAAGGGGCATTCATTAAATCTCCAACAAACTTTATGAAGTAGCTGCTTTTTTTTTTTTTAATTTTTGTTTCTTTATTGACTATAGAGAGAGAGGATGGGAGAGGGAGAAAGAGATAGAAACATCGATGAGAGAGAACATCGATTGGCCGCCTCCTGCATGCCCCCCACTGGGGATTTGGCCCACAACCTGGGCATGTGCCCTGACTGGGAATCGAACTGGGGACCTCTTGGTGCATCAGTGGATGCTCAGTCACTGAGCCACACTGGCCGGGCGGAAGTACCTGCTTTTTGCCAGGAGACAATGTTCAGTATGCTGGGCACACAGTAGGGACCAAGTAGTACCCTCATGGAACCCACAGTCAAGACAATAAGCAAAAACTGTGAAAGGTCACAGCAGTGTGTGCCAAATGCAGAGGGTGACTACCGGCAGCTTCCCCACTGGCCTGGAATGAGGATTCCTCAGCCAGGCATGGGAAGGGGCCTGCACATAGTAGGTGCTCAGTAAACACTTATTGAATAACTGCCCCTTCCGTTTCCAATACATCTTTCAGAGGCAGTCTGGCTATGTTTTACTTTCCAGGTCTTGTAACATTTCTTAATTAGCCAAGAAGTGCATTGTGCCCTATTATGTACCAGTCCTGGTGGGAACAGATTAGACTCGTTGTTGATTGTCCTCCACACTAGAAAGTCAGCTCTACTGTTTGGGTCTCTTATTTCTTTCTTCCAACAAGCATTTCAACACGTCAAGCCATTTACATTTTTGAAGCAGCCAGGCAGCCACATGACCTCTTCAGTCATTGCCCCCTGAGCCTCTGCTCCCTGAGACTGACAACCCCCATGCTCTCTCTGCCCTGCTGCTGACCTTCCTGGACACACCAGCCAGTGAACCATATGACATCTGCTTAAAACGATTTTTTTCATTTTTATTTTATTTATTTTTTCTTTTTAAACTTTATTGTTGAATGTATTACAGATGTCCCTCCCTTTTTCCCCCCATTGACCTCCTCCTCCCTACACCCTCCCCCCTCCTGCCTTCCTCACACTATTGTCTATGGACATTGGTTATGCATATATGCAATGAGTTCTTTGGTTTATCTCTTCCCATCCCCACTCCCTCCTTCCTTTTGAGGTTAGGTTTATCAGTCTCATAACCAATTTGTACTCCTTAATTCCTTCACCTTTTTCACTCATCCCCCTAACCCCCTTCCATCTGGCAATCAACAAAAAGTTTTCTGTATCTATGAGTGTTTCTGTTCTGCTTGCTCATTTTGTTTGTAGAGTCATTTGCAGATATATATGTATTTATTGCCATTTTATTTTTCATATATTTGTTGTTGTTATTCTTCAAGAAGACCGGTCAACATTTCATATAATACTGGTTTGGTGGTGATGAACTCCTTTAGCTTTTTCTTGTCTGGGAAACTGTTTATATGTCCATCCATTCTAAATGATAGCTTTGCAGCCCAGTTGGTGTGGCTCAGTGGTTGAGCATCCAGTCAGGGCACATACCCAGGTTGTGGGCCAAATCCCCAGTGGGGGGCATCCAGGAGGTGGCCAGTTGATGTTCTCTCTTATTGATGTTTCTGTCTCTCCCTTCCTCTCTCTCTAAAATTAATAAACTAAAAATATTTTTTAAAAAATAAAATAAAATGGTAGCTTTGCAGGACAGAGTAATGTTGGGTGTAGGTCGTTGCTTTTCATCACTTTGAATATCTCTTGCCACACCTTTCTGGCCTGCAAAGTTTTTTTGAATAATTGGTTTACAATTTTATGAGAGCTCCTTTGTAGGTAACTAACTGCTTTCTCTTGCTCCTTTTAAGATTCTCTCTTTGTCTTTAACTTTGGCAGTTTGATGATGATGTGTCTTGGTGTGGACCTCTCTGGGTTCATCTTGTTTGGGATTCTCTGTGCTTCCTGGACTTGTATGTCTGTTTTCTTCACCAAGTTAGGGACGTTTTGTCATTTTTTCAAATAGGTTTTCAATTTCTTGCTCTCTTCTTCTGGCACCCCCATGATGTGAATGTTGGTATGCTTGAAGTTGTCCCAGAGGCTCCTTACACTGTCCTCATTTTTTTTTTTTAATTCTTTGTTCTGATTGGGTGTTTTTTGCTTCCTTCTAATCCAAATCGATGGTTTGCTTCTTGGCTTCTACTATTGATTCCCTGCAAATGATTTTTTTTTTAAATAGGCTTTATTTTTTAAAGAAATTTTACATTTGCAGAAAAGTTAAGATAGTGCATGGTTGCCACATACCTGGCACCAGTTGCACCAACTACTAACATACTTCATTGGTACGGTGTATTTGTTACATTTAATAAACCAATATCAATACATTATCATTAACTAAAATCTATATCTGCATTTCAATAACAATTATATAAACAATCAAAAGAAAACTTATTTTGCTAGAAACCTACAAACTCAAATGTACGTAGAAAGCACATCAGAGTAACTGCCGATGCAGCCATGAGACAGGAAGTAAGACATGCGACTAAAAGGGAATCGATGAATAAATGAAATAAGAGCTTTCAGGAGCTGAAGGCTGTTACAAACTGAAAGTACAATGAACTAACCCTGAGGTATATAAAAAGGGAAGAGACTGAAGTGAGAATGACCTAAGGGTAAGGGACTGTCATACTTATTTAGCTGTTAACCCCCAGAGGAAAAGAACAAAATTTAGGTTATGAGGTACTAGCACCTTAGTGAGCATGCCAATTCCCCCCATTTTCTTCCTCCAACCCTGCTGTATTATCTCTAATGAAGCATAAAGATTCTTCTAATCATGTCACGTCGGCTCATTTCACCAGCTGTTTGGCCGCCAGTCTCTTGTCTGTCTCTTCAGCAGTGGTGAGACAGATACCCTTTGCCACAGGGAAGGGAAATCCATGGTTTGTTGCCTTTGCTGATAACAAAAATGTTGGAGAGCCGGGTGGCAAAGCTGTTGCCATTACCATTTTTCACATGAACTATGTCAGAAGAACCAGGGTGTTTCTCTCTGTTGGTGATCATGCCAATTCTTCCCAGGTTAGCACCCCCGGTCACCATGCACAGGTTACCAGTGTCAAACTTGTTGAAATCAATAATTTTGCCAGTCTCCAAATCAATCTGAATGGTGTTCACCTTGATGAGGGGATTGAGGTAGCGGATGGTGCGAGCATCGTGGGTCACCAGATAAGGGATTCCCTTTGTGCCCACAAAGATCTTCCTTACTTTGCACAGCTTGTACTTGGCCTCCTCAGGTATAATACGATGAACAGCAAAGCAACCCTTGGTGTCATAGATCAGACGGAAATTCTCTCCAGTCTTGTCAATGCTGATGACATCCATAAACCCAGCAGGGTAGGTGACATCGGTGCGGACCTTGCCATCGATCTTAATGAAGCGTTGCATGCAGATTTCTTGACTTTATCGCCTGTGAGGGCATACTTCAGTCTGTTCCTTAGGAAAATGCTGAGAGGGAGACATTCTCTCAGCTTGTGGGGACCGGTAGATGGCCGAGGAGCAAACACACCAGTCAGTTTATCCAGCATCCAATGCTTTGAGCTGCTACACGCTTCAGATGCTTCTTGAGACCACGAGCCATGGCTTAGGTAGGCACGGAAAGAGGACCGTCTTGCTAATGAAAACGAAATGAAGTTGATGAGAGGAAGGTAGTCACCCGCCACATTCCTGTCTTGGCTTCCAAAGTGATGGTGTCTGACGTCCTCTGACCCTCTGTAAAGTATTTTTTTTTTTTTATCCTCACTCAAGGACATTTTTCCATTTTTTGTTCAGATAGAGCGGGAGGGAGAGAGGGGAAGAGAGAGAGAGAAACATCGATGTGAAAGGGACACATCGAGTGGCTGCCACCCACACAACCAACCAGGGCCGGGGACAAACTGCAACCGAGGTATACGCCCTTTGCGGGAACCGAACCCGGGTCTCTCTATACCGCAGGCCGACGCTCCAATCGCTAAGCCAAACCGGCCAGGGCTGTAAAGTATTCTTTATTTCAGTTAGTGCATCCTTCATTTTTGACTGGTCCTTTTTTATGCTCTTGAAGTCCTCACTAAATTCCTTGACATTCTCACTAAGTTTCTTGAGCATCCTTATAACCAGTATTTTGAACTCTGCATCTGTTAGATTGCTTATCTCCATTTTGTTTAGTTCTTTTCCTGGAGTTTTGTTCTGTTCTTCCATTTGGGACATGTTTCTTTGTCTCCTCATTTTGGCTGCCTCCCTGTGTTTGTTTCTATGTATTAGGTACAGTTGTTGTGTCTCCCAGACTTCATAGGGTGGCCTATTGTAGTAGGTGTTGTGTAGGGTCGAGTGACACAGCCTCTCTGGTCACCCCAGCTGGGCCCTCGGGGTGCACCCCTCATGTGGATTGTACACCCTTCTGCTGTAATTGAGTCTTGATTGCTGTTGGCACATCAATGGGTGGGTTTTACTCAGGCTGATCAGCTACAAGGACTGGCTGTGCCCACTGACCACTGACCTCTGACTACCTTGGAGGATCAACTGTGCAGGGTCCACCACACAGAGCAAGACTTACTTCAGCAGGGCTCTGGTACCCACTGAGTCCACCCCTTGAGTGTGTCACTTGTGGAGGTGGTTGGGTGATGGTGCTTCAATGTGGTCTGAAGCTGTCCACTGGGTGTGCTGGCTCTGGGGCAAGGTCAGCCACTGCCCGTGTTCTACCCAGGGCCACCAGGCATAACCTACAAAGTGATCTGCAGGTGGCTACTTCTTTTGCTGGGCTTGGAGGTGCCCAGGCAAAGCCAAGCTGTGAACCAAGGCTGACTGCTTCTAGTGCCAGGCCTGGGACCGGTTAGCGAGAGTTATGGGGCTCGCAGAGACCAGATGCTGTTTGAGAGATTTTAGGAAAATATGAAGCCGGATCCAAGACAGGCCAATCCTATGGTAAAGCAACTGGCAACAGCTTGGGTGGGCCTGAAAGTGGGGTGGGGCAGGGCCTCAGGGAATGGCCAGGGCGGGGCAAACAGTGTGAGCCAGGTTGCTGGCATCCCAGATATGGTGGCTATATGGTGGCTGGCTGCCCGCCCGGAGGGGGAAGGGCTCTCCAAAGGAACCCTGGCCTCTGCCAGCATGGCTCTCTGGGAGAAAGCTGCCTCCAGTGCTCGCCCTGATGCCAAATAACTCAGCTCTTCCTGGTATGACTCTGGTGCCTTTCAAGCTGCCTTCCCCACGCTGGAGCAGGTTGAATAAGTCTGTGTGGTTCCTTTAAAAGTATTTGCCTGGGACTCTAGCAGCTACAGCCTTCCTTGGCCTCAGTTCCCGCTGATTTTTCCAGCCAGAAGTTATGGGGACTTCTCTTCCTGGCACTGGAACCTGAGCTGGGGGGACCCCTTGCTCCTCAGGGAGGACTTTCATAGCTGAGGAGTCTTCCTGATTTTATCCGCCACATGTGGGTGTGGGACCGGCCCTTCCCGCGTCCGCCCCTCCTACCAGTCTCCATGTGGCTTCCTTAATTTTGTATTTTTAGGACTTCCATTCAGCTCAATTTTAGGCGGTTCTGAATGATGGTTGTTCTGTAGTTTAGTTGTAATTTGGATGTGATTGTGGAAGTCCCAATGTTAGGGAGAGAAAATAGGCTCAGAGAGAAGGCCTTTCCAAGGGCATATAACAAATACATTAGGGAGGGTATCCCAAACTCTATAATTTAAGTCATCAAGTGCTCAAAGCATGTCATATTTAGACGTGGAAAAAACACAGCCCTAGGTCCATTCCAGGGGTCCATCTGGTTTATGCTGCCATCTTGACCGGAAGTCTCTTAAAAATCCTGAATCCTAGGCTAAGGTCCCTCAACATCAGCACTTAGCAACAATTGGGGCCACATCATTCTCTGTGGAGGGCCGCACTGGGCATCCCTGACCTCCACCCACTTGATGCCAGGGGAACCTTTCCCCACAGTCATGACAACCAGAAGTGACCCCGGACACAGTGTCCCTTGGGGGAGAGAGTTGTTCCCAGCTGAGAAGCACTGCTCTAGGCTGTAGATACTCATCGTGCATCCTAGAGAGGAACATGCTGTAGGCCTCAGCCCCGCTGAGGAACATGCAGATACAGTGTTCTTGGACCCCTGGAATGGACCTAAGACAGAACCACTCACCTACCTGCCCCTAGACGCCCGATATTTAGAAACTGTGAGATCATACTTGTTTATTGATTTTAAGCCACAAAGTTTTGGGGTGATTTGTTACACAGCTACATATAGCTAACTGATATAAGCAGCATTGTCAATATGGTGCACTAACCATTACCACGTGCCAGCTCTATGCCTACCAGTGCTGCCAAGCCATATGGAGGCGATGTCCTCTTTTCTCTATTTCTCAAAAAATGCCACACTGATTCCCACTTCAGGCTCCTTGCAGGCGCTGTTTCCTCTGCTTGGAGCACCTGGGCTGCTTCCCAGGGCTCCCCCCTTGCTGATGGTAACCACGTGTTTCCTACTTCCCGTAGGTCTGTCTGCTGCTGTAGTTCCCTTGGGTCTGGTACGGGGAGCGGGCAGGGACGCCCGGCGTGCAGGAAGGCAGGTGGTGTGGAACATGCCTCCACCAGCCAGCACTTCTCCTGCCATCAGAGGCCACACCCATCTTGCCCATGGCCTGCACAGGCCCGTCGCTCTCCAATGCCTTTAACATTCTAGGCACAGCAGGCCAGGACAAGCTCCTGTATCTTAAGCACAAGCTGAAGACCCTGCGCCCAGTCTGGCCGGGGGTGGACCTCCTGCACGCCATGGTGCTCCTGACACTGGGCCAGGAGACCGAGGCCAGGATCTCCCTGGAGGCCCTGAAGGCAGATGCGGTGGCCCGGCTTGTGGCCCACCAGTGGGCTGGCATGGACAGCAGTGCCGAAGCCATGGAGGAGCCACCAGACTTACCCTGGGCCGTTGCCCGGGTGTATCACCTGCTTGCCGAGGAGAAGCTGTGCCTGGCCCCAATGCGGGATGTGGCCTACCGGGCAGCCCTCCACGCTTTCAGCTCCAGGGATGACCCCCAACTCGGGGAGCTCCAAGAGGAGGCCCGGGACCGATGTGGATGGGACATCATTGGGGACCTTGGAGACTTTCAGCCCCTCCACTCTGCTCTGGGCTGCCTCCCGCCATCCTCAGCATCACCCTCCGTGACCCGTAGCCAACCTCAGCCCATCGAGGACCCCTTGGGCTGGAGCAAAGGATGCTCCCTGAGATCCACTGGCAGCCCAGCCTCCCTAGCCAGCAACTTGGAAATTAGCCAGTCGCCCACGCTGGCCCTCCTCAGCCAGCACCGCAGCCCCCGTGGGCCCAGCAGGCTGTGTGATGAGCCGCCGGTGCCTGAGCCTGTCCCTGCAGGCTTCCAGGAACCAGAGGAGATGAGCTGGCCTGCATCGGAAGAGATTGCTGACGCCCTGTTGCCACCAAGTAGCCCAGCCCCCAGGCTTCCTGAGGTGGCCTTAGATGCTGGCCTGTCCAACCCTTCTGAAGCTCCAAACACCAGCACCCACTACCCGGTGGAATGTACAGAAGTGTCACCAGCCCCCAAATCTCTCGCCTCACCCTCTAGAAACACCTGCCCTGTCAAGGACCAGATGCCACTACAAGTTCCTGTGGAAGATACCACTTCCCCGACAGCCCAGCCGTGCCCACCAACACCCTCAGCCCCAAAGACGTCGCCTCCCTATCCTTCTCTATCGACTCCTTGTTCAGCTCACCCGGCCTCTGTGAACCCGTGTCCTCCTTCTCCTGAGTTAGAGCAAGAATTTTATAACTTTGTGGTCTTGCACGCCAAGGCGGATGAGCACATTGCCCTGCGTGTCCGGGAGAGGTTGGAGGCCTTGGGTGTGCCTGACGGGGCCACCTTCTGCGAGGATTTCCAGGTGCCCGGGCGCAGCAAGCTGCGCTGCCTGCAGGATGCCATAGACCATTCGGCCTTCACCATCCTGCTACTCACTGCCAACTTCGACTGCTGCCTGAGCCTGCACCAGGTGAGCCAGTCGCTGATGTGCAGCCTCACGAGGCAAGGATGGCAAGACTGCGTGGTCCCTTTCCTGCCCCTGGAGAGCTCCCTGTCCCAGCTCAGTCCCGAGACGGCCAAACTGCTCACCAGCCTGGTATGGCTGGATGAGCACTCCCAGATCTTTGACAGAAAGGTAACCAACACCTTCAAGCCTCATAGGCTACGGGCTTGCAAAGCCAACTGGAAGAAGGAACAGGATGCCCGGGCCCTGCGGGAGCAGCGCCAACACCTTGAGGGTGAGCGGCAGCAGGCAGTGGCATTCAATGCCGCATACTCAGCCTACCTCCAGACCTACTTGTCCTATCAGAAGCAGATGGAGCAGCTCCAGGTGGCTTTTGGGAACCACATGACATCATTTGGGACTCAGTTGCCCTCTGGGACTCAGGTGCCCTATGGGGGCCAGGGGCCCCTGGGAGCCCAGCCACCCTTTCCTACCTTGCCCAGCCATCAGCCACCAACCCTGCCTCCATGGCTGGCTGGCACCCCCAGCCCAACCTTCCCACAGCCTCCGGTCTTCCCATCAGGCTCAACTGTGCCCCCTCAGAGCCCGGGACCACAGCCCCTCATCATCCACCATGCGCAGATGGTGCAGCTGGGGCTCAACAACCACATGTGGAACCAAAGAGGGACCCAGGCGCCTGAGGACAATACACAGGAAACGGAATAACCAAATGACAAACCTGATGACCTTGACTTCAGACCTCCTTTGGGCTGGACCTTGGAGGTCCCCCATCTTCAAGGAGTACAGTGGAGGATGAGGTCATCTGCTATTTTCAGGATATTACTGGGGACACCTTTATGTGTCAGGAAATCATGCAAAATGGTCCCCGATGACTTTCTGGCTTTGGAGGAAGCCAGAATTGGACGTGTTCATAGATTCTGGATGGTGGTGGTAGGAAATGGGCTGGGAGCTATTGGCACAGTGTCTTAATTATAATAAATATTTATTGAATGCTTCTCTAGTACTGTTCTCCTCTGGGAGACCTCTGCTAGGTGATAAGATAAAAACATACCTACTGTACCCAAAAAAGGGAAACTGAAGAGAGAAATTCTCTCCCCATGAATGGCATGAACCGGAAGTGTCTTGTATGTGCTCAATTAATTGACCAGAACTAGTCACTGGGCTCCTCTCCAGCAGGAAGGGTGACTGGGAAATGCAGTCTTTTTTTTTTTTTTTTTTATCCTCACCCAAGGACTTTTTTCCATTTTTTGTTCAGATAGAGTGGGAGGGGGAGAGAGAGAGAGAAAAACATCTATGTGAAAGGGACACATCGACTGGCTGCCTCTGGCACGACCCAACCAGGGTCGGGGACAAACTGCAACCAAGGTACGTGCCCTTAGCGTGAACCGAACCCAGGTCTCTCTGGACCGCAGGCCGACGCTCTAACCGCTGAACCATACTGGCCAGGGCGGGAAATGCAGTCTTTTGATGGGCTGTGTGCTTTGCTAAAACTCCATCTAATACTAGAGGAAGTGAAAAGATATTAGGGAATATTTAGCAGTTTTTGCTGCAGCTCTTGGGAGGTTATGGGTCTGCCTCGATGCCCTCACCAAGGCTGGGCTCAGATCCCACCATGTGATTTTGGGCAAGTGTCTTCACCTCTCTAAGCCACTACTTTCCCAGAAGTGGGTTTATGATTCCTGTGTTTCAAGGTCATCAGTAAATCGTTCCATAACTCTGAAACACCAGGGACAGTGTAAGGGCTTATTAACTGTACATAACAGGGAGGGGATTCATATTTTCTTGAGAAGAATAGAATTAAGGTTTGTTGAGCACTCACCACTTAACGATTCTGGAGGCTTTAAATATCTAAACATATTTTAATCTCACAAAATGAGCTCCAGGTAGAAGCTTCTATGGTTGGGCCCATTGTACTGATGGAGAAAACTGAGGCCCAAAGAAGTGAACTCCGGTGCCAAAAGTCATAGATTGGAACTGGGGGGATTACAATGGGAGAAGTCAAACTTCCAAGGGAGGAAATGATTGGAGGGCCCTGGAAGGGTGAATTTGGGCGGGCTGAGCCAAATAGCTGAAGACCTCCACCCAATTGTCTGATTTGCACGTTTACTTTGCATGCTCTTTCCTCTAGTGCCTGCCCTCCAAGGGCAGGCCTGGTGTGAGTCATCCAGGCTGTTTCGAAACTTGCTTTTAGTGGCTGACTCAGATTTTGCAGCCTGCCAGTCATGATGAAGTGAAACCTGGGGGAGGAAAGCCTAAAATTAGATTCCGGGGTCGGGTACGGAAGAATGGGGTTTTGGAGTTGGAAGGTTTTGGAGGCAAGAGCCAGCGGCAAATAACTGGACAGTGGCAGTAAATATTTGCTCATCTGATCAATGTTTATTGAGCACCTGCCAGGATTTTCCCAGGCAGTGGGGTTCAGTAGGGGTGGGTGTGATTGTCCCTTGCTTTCTTTTTAGTTGGAAGTGGAGGAGAGGGGAGCAGTGAATGAATCATCAAATAAGGAAGCAAGATAGCAGGGTGAGGTGATAGGAGTATCTCAGGAGAGACCTTTGGCCCAGGTGCCAGAGAGGGCCTCTCTGAGGAAGTGGTGTTGTAGCCAAGATCTGGAGGAAGAGAAGGAGCTGGCCATGGAAGAATTGGGTGGTGTGGCATGATCTGGGCAGAGGAAACAGCCAGTGCAAAGGTCCTGGGGTAAGGCCATGTTTGGCCTGTTTAAGGAACAACTAGGAGGTAAAAGGTCTGAGCCGGCGGGAGATCACATCCACAATGCAAGGCCAGTGTAGAGTCAAGTGGTTTTATTGCATACGCCTGGGTACAGGCGGACTGAGTCACAAATTTTGAGCTCAGCATTGGAATCTCTTTGTTCTCTGGGTTTTACAGTTGCAAACTACAGAAACTAAAAAAAACTACATAAAAAAACCCCACATTCTCTTGACACCGCTTAATTGGTGCCAGGGAGCTGACACGAGCTGTCTCAGAGGTAAGGAGTCTGCTCCAACAGAGGTCAGGGCCATCATTAATCTCCTTTTTTATGATCCCTCCAAGTTTCCCAAGGCCATCATTAAGCCCTTATCCTTATGGTTCCTATGGGTGTCAGTCCCAGGGTTTTTAAAAAACTGCTAGGGTGTTTAAGTGCAAAAATAATTGTCAGAATGGAGTTTAATTTTGTTAAAACATTATTAACCCTTTCAGGAGGCCCATGTGGCTGAAAGGGAGTGAGGGAGAGAAGAGGTGAGGGCTGGGAGAGGGAGGTTGTGTAGGGCCTTGTGGGCCACATGGAGGACCTGGGTTACCCCCACCCCTGGAGAGCTGTGGGCTGAGAAGGGCCTGGACCTGATTCAGATGCTCACCAGCGGCCTCTGGTGGCTCTGTGGGAAGGACAGACAGAACCAGGGTGGGAGCTAGGGGACTAGGGCAGATGGGCTCATTTCATCCTCCCAACAGCCCCAGGAACTGAAGACTATCATTGTCTCCAGTTTATAGATGAGGAAAATGAGGACTAGAGAGGTAAAGGTACTTATACAAGGTCACACAGCACATAAATAACCTAGAGGGGCAGGAGAAAGAACCGAGGGTCTCTACTGAATTCTAGCCCATAGACTGGGCAGCCTGTTAATTGTCTTGATTTTTAAATTATTTGAAATATTCTTGTTAATTTTATTATTTATTAATTCGTGGTTTCTCCACCACACCTTTCCCACCCTGAGAGGGCTGGGGACGGATCTGTCTTGGTCACTGGTATTTTCAGAAGCGAGCACAAACTGTGGCACATATTAAGTATATGGTAGTTGAGTCATTTAAAAAAAAATTTTTTTGTGTGTATTGATTTTAGAGAGAGAGGAAGGGGGAGGGAGAGAAAGATAGAAACATCGATGAGAGAGAATATCAATTAGCCAACTCCTGCATGCCCCCCACTGGGGATTTGGCCCACAACCTGGGCATGTGTCCTGACTGGGAATCAAAACGGTGACCTCTTGATGCAGGGGTCAATGTTCAACCACAGCCACACCAGCTGAACTATTTGAGTTGTTTTGATAGACAGTTATTGAGCACCTGCTGTGTGAGCCTGTGGGGACTCTGGGACACAGAACTGTTACCTGCAGTGAGTGAGGAGAATGTCGATTCATCTATCCACTTATCCAACCAACATTTATTGAAGTCCTACTGTATTCAGGCCCTGTGGACACAGTGATGAATGAGTGGTCACCCCCCCTGGAGGTGACCCAGAACAATCCGGTTCTGTCCTTCAGTGTGCATGGCCCAATGCCAGAGACAGAAACTGTTATGGGGTTAATAGTGCTGTGATGGGGAAGTGTAGGGGACTGCTGGAGCCCAAAGGGGACCCTTGGCCAGCATGGGGGGGATTGAGAAGCTTCTGGAAGGAGTAAGCAAGCTGAGACCTCAGGAATGAGCCATGAGTCAGGAAAAGTGTTTCTGGAGGTGGGCAGAGCATGGCAAAAGCCTGCGGGGAAGACCATGTAGGATAGGGCAACTCCATGCTGGAGGACAACAGTTTCCCAGAGTTGGGGGCTCAGCTATAATTCTTGCTGCATTAGCGCTCCCTAGTGGCCACCACCAGCTCTGCGGTCAGCCAGCCCCAGGTGCCCCCATGGGCCTGGGTGTTTCTTGGGGAAGTCCCATGTCCCCTCTAGGCCAAACAGCTTTAAGGAAAATAGGGAAATTTTCCCTTTAAAAACTGAAACGGCTGGCCAGTTTGGCTCAGCGGTTGAGCGTCGGCCTACGGACCAGAGAGTCTTGGGTTCGGTTCCCGCTAGGGGCACATACCACCAAAAAAAAAAAAAAAAATAGAAGGCAACTAAAAACTGAAATTGGCCCTGGCCGGTTTTGCTCAATGGTTAGAGCGTCGGCCCACGGACCAGAGAGTCCCAGGTTTGATTTCCGCTAAGGGCACATACCTCAGTTGCAGTTTGTCCCTGGCTCCAGTTGGGGTCGTGTGGGTGGCAACCAGTCGATGTGCCTCTCTCACATAGATGTTTTTCTCTCTCTCTCCTCTCCAAAAAAACAAACAAAAAACAATGAAATGGCCCAGCTTGTGTGGCTCAGTGGATTGAGAGTTGTCCTATGCACTGAGAGGTTACCAGTCCCGGACAGAGCACGTAGTAGAGATGTTCCATCCCTACTGTGGGGCATGCAGGAGGCAGCCAATCAATGTTTCTCTCTCATCAATGTTTCTATCTCTCTCCCCCTCTCCTTTCTTCTCTCTCTCAAAAAAAATCAATAATAATATATATATTTTTAAACTGTGAAATGTGCCCAGCCGGGGTGGCTCAGGGGTTGAGCATCAACCTATGCACAAGGAATACATTCCCATGTCTCAAAATTTAAAAGGCACCAGAGAGGAATCCGGGTAAAGTTGCCCTCTCTTCCCTATCCCTAGCCACCCAGTTCTCCATTCCAGAGACCCTATTGGTTTTTATTCAATCCCTGCCCCCCACAGTGTGTTCTCCCTTCAGCAGCCAGAGGATGCCTCTGAGCACCCATCAGGTCCTTTCTCCTCTCTTTCCACAGCCCTCCAGGGCTCCCAACTATGTCCCTCGGGATAAAAGCCCAAGCCTTCCCAGAGGTCCATAAGGCCCTGCAGGACCTGCCCCCTCCCCTCCCTGCCTTCACCACCTGTCTCTCACCCTCGCTCACTCTTCAGCCACACAGGTCTCCTTAACATACAAGGCCCATCCTCCAAAACAGAAGGTTGATCCTTCCCTAGAGCCTTTGCACAGGCTGTTCCCTCTGCTTGGAATGTCCTTCCACCAGAAACCTCCATAGCTCCCTCCGCATCTCCTCCAGATCTTTGCTCAAATGCCACCCTCTCAGTGGGGCTTCTCTGAGCACCCCATGTAAGATTTACTTACAATTACACCCTCTAGATGCCCCTGACTGCTCTATTTTTTCATAACACTTAGCACTTTAAAAAAAATGTTTTTTCTTTTTCTT